GATACGATTTTATGTGGTTTTGAGAAATCGATAATGTTTTTATTTTTGAATTAAAAAAATTTGAAAATAGCATAAAATTTTGAAAAAATAAATAAATCAATATTAGTATCAAATTGACTATTTAATAGTTTCATTTATTTGGTATACGTTATTTACTTCAATTTTTTATTATAATTCAATTTAGATTTAATAACAAAACAATTTATTTTTGATTTAATAATATAATTTTTTATAAATATAATAATTAAACATTCTGATATAATTCAATGATTATCTTAATTATATTTTAGATTTTCTATGTTTAAAATGGATGTTTGTCGTGTATTTGATTATGTTTATCTGCAGTTAGTTATACGAATTTAAAAATGGAGTTTTAATAAGTTATACTTACGAAAAAATTACTTGTACTCTTGAATTTTAAGTAATATGCATTAATAAACAGTAATTCATGCATAAAAAATAGTTTTTAAAAGTTTTTGTCAAATGTTTTATAATATAAATAAAAAAAATTATTTTTAATAGTTTTTGTCAAATGTTTTATAATATAGTATAGATATAGATATAGATATATGTATATATACATATATAACCTCATGGCAATCGACATCTCAAGTGGCTTCAAATATTAAAAATAAAATATTGGAGTGATGAATCGAGCCTAGGGGATGGGGTTGTGATGACCCGTGGTGTAGGGATTTTGACACACATTTGGAGACATGATCAAGCAACGCCATCAATCAAATCGTTTTAAAGGGATGAAAATTTGAAACGTGGCAAAGTTATTTTCACATATTTACTTACTTTTTTAATCCCTAAAATGGAAAAAAAAAAAAAACTTTAACTTAAAGTTACCTTTTACGTCTCATCGATGTGTCTCTTTACTACCTACCTCATGTGTGTACACATGGAATAAGAAATCCACAAATTAAAATTATGCTCAAATAAACTCGTTTAGATTGTTATATCGCATCCCAATTGTATCAGATATTGTTTGTTTTGTTTATATCTGAATTTATGGTTTTAAAACACCTCTGATAGATGAGGTGTTCGGTCTTTTATAAGGTAACATTTGTTCATATCTTCAACTGATATAGGCGCTTACCGGATAAAAGTTTAATAAAATGGCAGGATTGGGCATTGAGCAAGTCGAATGATTATTTAGAATTTTGGATATGTTCTTTTATGGATTTCGATTTTTTGTCAATTTAAATAATACGATCAATTAAGAAACGAAAACAGAAAACATGAAAACTAAATATGATTAATGTATGTGTATTTTTGGCGGTCGGTTCGGTCCAAACATTCATAAAAATATTCGAACCCCAAATCAACCACACCGAGCGGTTCAACTATTTTTCAAACCAGACTGGACTGACAGACCGCTTAAACCGTCAAACAACGTTTCGGTTTGACATGGTTTGAAGCGGTCCAACAGTTTAAACACCCCTAGTCTAATGTCTAATACACATATATTAATTAAGGAGTTAACAATCATATTAAATCCATAGTATATAAAAACATCATATTCGTCGGGTTGAGTTCATATTACCCTAACCCAATTCCAACCCCGTAAATACAGTTTGACCAAATTTTGTATCAACTGTGTGTTAGGTTACTTTGGGTTGAGTTTTTTTTAGGGTTTCCGGGTTGGGTTAATCGGTTTTTTAAACACCCCCAGTAAACAACCCTTAGTTTTAAAATGTCTTGAAATTACTTACAATTTACTTCTTCTTTAAAATTTTGATGCTAATTTATCTTTCAATAGCTCTATTAATTACATGATATTAAAAGTATTGTATTTTTGTGTATCTTAGTATATAGAATTAATTTTTATTCTGTTACAAAAGAAATACAGTAGAAAGTCAAGTCTAAATAAAGGCAAAGACATAATTTAGATAAGTGAGGTTTAAATGTTGTTTACTAAACATTTATCGTATTTTACTGCTTAATTAAACAGTTATCATGTTTTGCTTCGTAAAAGACTTTCACTCGATAAAAAATAACAGTAATTACCAATAATCATACTGTATCGTTTTTGCTAACAGTTAATCTTACTTGATAAATGATCATAAGAAGTGACTACAGTATTCGATAATGTACATGAAAAACAACATCTATCTTATTTATGTACGATTGATTGGTACAAAAATATCATGTAACCCAATGGGCCATGAATGGACTTGAAAGTTAGGTTGGTCAGTTGGTGCACCATGGGGTCTTAATGAGTTGTGATGGGCTCGTCCAATAGCAAGGACAAATGGGAATCGTCCAAGATTTTGAGCTCTGCTTCCTCAAGTTGTGTTATATGCCCAACCACAAATGTTCAGTTCATTTGTGGTTCCGGTCCTCCGACAGTTTCGGGCCGATTTGGCCATCACTAATAAACCCTAAAGTTATATATCATTTTGATATCAATAAATTATAATTTTTGAACATGTGGTTTGTTGTTTATAATTGTTTTTGGTTTTCAAAAATTGTTTTTTTTATATCACTGTGGTTTTTATTTCGTTTATTTTTTCGTTCATTAAACTAACTTCGTTAGAAGACTTTGGGATTGTTCGTCTGTGGCTTAATGAGTTGTATAAGCCTTGTAGCTTATTCGCTCGGTTATAAAAGACTGTTTGGTTGGAGCTTATTCGCTCAACCATTAATATTCCCCAACTACCCTCAATTAAAAGCTATTTTACATTTAAAACAATAGAACTCACACTGCTCAGTTTCTCCAACCACCAGTCTCTCGATTCTTCCCTCAACCCTCGAAGTTGTTATCTCTTCCCTCCAAATGTCAAAGTTGTTTTCTCTGCCTCAAACATGAGATATCTTCCTTGAATGCTCAATCATTCCAACCATCTTCGCCCTTCCAACTGGTGTCGGTCATCCTCCTCAAACCGGCTAACGCTCTCTATTCTCTCTCTGCTAATCTTCCCCAAAGTCTCGTTTTAGGGGTTTTTTCTTTCTTAAGGTTGATTTGTAATTAGGTATTCTTGTTTTGTGCCCGTGTTTGGAATTCCTGGGAGGTTTTGGTCCAACGATGATATGGAAAGTTGGAGGAAAAAAAACAAATCATATATAAAATAGAAAGTTAAAGAAGAAGAGACTGTGGTATATAAAATTAGGGAAGTATGGGTTTTGTTTATGAGTTCATGACAAAAGGTGAGGGAATGAATTTCAAGAAGAGAAAAAAAATCAAAAATATATTAATAAAATCATACATACACACACGTGCGTGCACCCACGTGTGCACACACATATGTGTGTGTGTCAAGGTTTAACCTTATGATATTCATATTTGAGTTCGATATTATAGAAATTAAATGGTTTGGAATTGGGTTTAATAAAAATTTTAAGTTGATTTTCTTAACAACTTTATCAATACAAACAATTTTATTAGTACAGATCTTGATGCAAAATGAACCGGACAACCATTTTGTTAAGTCTCTCTTAAGTCAAGTCAATGTTATTATGGTCATTTAATAAACTTACTTCATTTTGTGCTAAAAAAACAATATACATTAATAAAAAATTATCACTCACAACATACCCACAACTTATTCAAATTCTTTTTTACCCCAAGACTTATCCTAATGGATTTCAGATCTGATCAATTTTTTTGTGACAACCTTTTCTTCCGACACACTCTTTTCGGTTTTCTTCCCCCACTTCCTAAATCAAACCCAAAACTTATCAAAACGTAACCTCGCGCAAGTCACAATAACCATAACCACTTTGGATTAGGTGGTCCGGGTTGCTCATCATAGTAGACAATAAGAATAAAAAAGTTAAAAAATGGGGATCTTGGAGACCGTGGTTGTAAGATGGTGGTAAAGCTTATATTGACGGGGTTCATTTTCTTATTTATATAAAGCCTTTGATAATTCGTAGCCATGTTGTAGCAATTTCTAATAAACGTGAATTACATTAGATCTTAGAGCATATTGCATTTTTGGTACATATAGTTTGTTCAAAGACCAATGAGTCCATCATAATGGTTGTTAACTAACGTTGTTAAATATATGAACCATGAGCGTTATAAAAATGGAAAGTTAGAGACCACCGGTATAGATAGTTTGTTTTAGAGATCGCATCTAAAACTTGAGCAAACCATAGGGACCACTAGTGTAATTTATTTAAAATATAAATTTGAAATTGAAAATCTCTTGATGAAATATCATAGGAGGTTGTAAGCTTTAAGAACATGTACAATATCTGTAATTGATCGTACCTCTTAAAAGTTTAAGATGTATAACCAATTTCGAACAACTAACAAAGGTATAATGTGTAATAAATAAAGAAAACACAAAATTTTAATGTATTTTAGTTGATATATGTTTTTTATAAATATAACAAAGGTGTAAAATGAAAATGTATGGATATACAATAAATTAATTAATAGGATAAAAGTATGTTCAATATTGAGGTCAATTTGAAAGTATCAACGAAACGATTATAATGATATAATTTGTAGAAAAAAGAACGTATTTTTTAAATATATTATATTTCATATATGATTATTTATGTTCATATGATAAATGTATAAAATAAAAAAATTAAAAAAATAATAATAAAATAAATCAAATCATTAATTATAAGAGCATGAATGGGCATGGCAACGGGACGGGGATGGGCGGATTTTGTAATCCCCGGCCCCAACCCCGGTTTGTAATAACGTCCCCCGGCTCCGGCCTTGATGCCCGCGGGTACGAGGATTATCATCCCGTCCCCGGTCAAATTCTAGCATTCCCGGGTAAAACCTTATAAAAAATATACTTTAGTTTGATTCTACCGAAGATCCGGTCCCAGCCTCAGGACCCGTTTTAACGGGGAATCTTCATCCCCGTTCGAGTCGGATAAACCGGGTTTCCCACCAGATCGAGACAAATTTTCAAATTAAAAATCACTTGGTGGAAAATAGTGGAATGTTGTAAGCTTTAAAAACTTACAAGGTCGCCCCCCATGAAATTTTAGAAATTTATCTTTGGACACCGCTTCTTTTGGCCGCCAGTATTTTTCACAATAACCCATAAATCCCCAATTTCGCAAAAACCCTATCAACTCTCTCCCGAATTCACAAAGAAACCCTGCTAATCCATCGCCCATTCTTTCAAGTTACAAAATATACCTGTTTCTGCCAATTTCAGAACCCTAGAAATCGAATGCAGTTTGGACTATTATCAATATAGTTCCGTTATATTCTAGATTTGTTTATCGTCAATCATTCAGTATCGTGCAGCATTCTTAGAGGAAGAAGACGATGTCTTGGGAGAACGAGATCGTAATGCGTGATATCAGTAAAGCAAGTCTTGTAGTGAGCGACCGTATCGGGAGAGATGTTTCGGCTCAACTTGACCTAGAAGAAGCCCTAGAAGCTTCTAGATATACTAGCCATCCTTACTCTACTCACCCCAGAGAGGTAAACCTGAAAATATTGGACTTGTAATTGGGTATATTGAGACTTCTTTTTTAGTTTGTGTTTTACCTTTTAACATTATACTTGTTTGGATGTTCATTGGAAGAAGATACACCATATTTTATAGCAAAAGAACGATGTGAACTTTGGATGATACATGTGTCATTTTCAACTTTAGGGTTGATCGGCAAAGTTTAAACTTAAGTGAATCAAGTACCAAGTAATTTATGATATTTAAAAAGTTGACTTTACACTGTGATAGATTACAAGTATCACAACATACAAAGTTAATAACTTATAAAATGATCATTATGAATTAATTCAAATTGTATGCGCGTGTGTGTGTTGGGGGGGGGGGTATTTATGAATCTTAGATTGATGTTGGATGAGTGCATAATGGTCACATTGCATCACAAGTTTGATTATGGTAACCTTATCATGGTGGCATAGTAAGTGGTCATGGTAGATGGGAAAAATTCTGTGGAAACATGTCTCAATTTTGCCATTCGTGGAATAATTAAGCTTTTGTTAGATGTTCCTAAATACTTAGTGCAGCTTTCCTATCTGTTCAGCTTTAATGTAAGATTGAGATGCCATCATTGCTTGACGTAGAACATGCTTTGTCTAACAAAAAGACAGGGTCATTTATATATATATATATATATGTATATATGTATATATGTTTGTATGTATGTACGAATGAATGCATTAAATATGTTCCAAAAAGCAACACACCTGTTTCTCCTTTTAGATAGATTAACCAGTTTGCAGATTTGTATTTCATAAATTCAACTGAAGTATCCAAAATATAGCACCAGAGTAATAATGAACTATGTATCATGTAAAGGTTGCTACAACTTACAAGGACATGGTTTTTCTGAAGAAAATAATATACTCTTAATCATGATGCCACTGTCTTATGAATGGATACAAATATGTCATTTTTATCTTTTTGCATGTATTTTTGATATCATGGGAAGGTTTGCTTTGGATCCTGTTGGTTATGACTCATTGAACTGATGTTGAGTTATCCAATTCCAGCATGTCATTGAAAAAGATACAGCATGCCTGCTTTCAATTGACATTCTTGACTTAGAATACTCATTTCATTGTCACTTGTTTTCTGCAATCTCATGTTGCTTTGTCTTGTTGCAGTGGCCTCCCTTGGTTGAAGTGGTAGATAGCAGGGAGTTGCCCTCAGTACTCATAGAAAGATATAATGCAGCTGGAGGGGAAGGCACTGCTTTATGTGGAATATTTCCTGAGATTCGTAGAGCATGGGCGTCTGTAGATAATTCTTTATTTCTTTGGCGTTTTGATAAGTGGTGAGTATCGTTAGTTGAATGTGATTAGTCTTTAAGTTGTATGGTCTCACTATTATTTTTATTCGGCCTGCTTGGTTGTTCTTCCTGGATACTGGTTGGCACAGCAATAGCCATTGCTTAAATATATACTTCAAGGTGGTTAAAAATTCATCACTGTAGTGTAATCTGATAGAAAAGAACCCTTTCTTTCACCACCATTAAATCATGTTCTGTTAGCATTTTTACCAATAAATTCGGCAAATGCTAGTTTTTTGTTTGGGAAAGAGGACGACATCTCTGGCAATACACTAGAAGAGACTTAAATGGCAATTGGCAACAAGGCCCAGTTTTTTTGTTTGTTGTGGAAGTTAGTTAAATGCGGTACATTTACAACTATACAAGGTTGCTTGCTCACATTGCATTGGCAATGGAGGCGTACTGCACTTTGCACTCATGATGCAGTTTCAATTTGTTTTGCACATAAATTACCAAAGAGGAGTAATATGATCTATAAGCACAACTCTGATTAATAGCTATGAAATAAAACCCTAGTAATAGACCCCTATAGATCTTCAGAATATATTGTGTGAAATCCTGGATTAAGATAGTTATTTATCGTTATGACTTATGCCATAGGATGGCAATTTCACATGGATGTATTGTAATTAAGAAACTTTTATCTATCTTTCAGATGGAGGAAGCTAATAAACTGATGAATGCTAATATATTCATTTCCATTGTCTACCTAGTGAACCTGTCAATTGAAGCAGTATTGCATAGAAGCAAATTTCTTGTATTTGCTGCCTAATATCTCTAAGAAAACAATAATAAAAATTGATGATTTTTCTGAGAAAGTACAACTGTTGTAGTGACGAGTATTTGTATGCTCATACGACATAGAATAAGTAAGCTCTATAACTACTTTTTGCATTTATTATTTATTTGGATATCTATATTATCAGCTATTATTTTTCCAGGGATTTCTGAGATTAGTCGCATAGACACTAATAAAGCTCATGCCATTCATAGAACTAGATCCTGACTAGCTTTTGCTTTATCTACCAAATCTATTCTGTAGCCCACCGGTCATGTTGAATCTTCATTTTAATAGGTTTATAGAATAACTGCTTGATGTTTCTGCACTTTTGAGTAGTAATGAGAACACAATGGATCTTGCTTGTGACACATAACCACATGGCTAACATCTTGAGCTCTTGCATGTGTGCAATCAAGACGTTTCAATTTTAATTCATTGTTTATCAGTTCAAGAATTGTCAATGCTCTGGCTATATTTGGTGTAAGTGCAGAATATGTACTTCCCACCAATCTTGAATTTGTTTATCTTTTGATTTAGGGATGGCCAATGCCCTGAATACAATGGTGAGGAACAAGCTATCTGTGCTGTTGGGTTGGTCAAAGCTAAGCCTGGCATTTTTGTTGAGGCTATCCAATATCTTTTAGTCTTAGCAACTCCAGTCGAGGTAAACACTTATACGTTTCCTTACCAAGTATTTAATTATTTAGCTACTTTGTTTCTCAAGCTTCTGATTTTTTGTATCATATGGTACATATCAAACTACTCATATTTACCTTTATTTATTCACATCTTGTGTCTATGTTTTTCAGTTGCTTCTTATTGGAGTATGCTGCTCTGGAAGCGGTGATGGAACAGATCCGTATGCTGAGGTCTCATTACAGCCTCTACCAGAATACACAATACCATCAGATGGAGTTACCATGACATCTATTGCATGTACAAATGGTGGTCATATTTTTTTGGCTGGACGTGATGGACATATATATGAGATGCATTATACTACTGGTTCAGGTTGGCACAAACACTGCCGTAAAGTTTGTTTGACTGCAGGTTTGGGTAGTGTTGTTTCAAGGTATAAATTACAAACCTATGTAGGCATATTTTTCTCTTTAATATTTTGTCAAAAATTTATGCCTTCCACTTGATAATGACATTTTTGATCTCTAAAACTGATGAACATGAAAATTTTCTATTCATGGCGAGGCTTTGACTGATGTTATGTCCTAGCATTTATTATTTTACTTTAAACTATCTGCTAATGAACCTTGATCTAAAGTCCATTATTCTACTTGCATCTCATGGTGGTGTTCTTATAATTGTGTTTATGCTATTTTTTCATCTTTCAATTCAGGTGGGTGGTACCAAATGTATTCAAGTTTGGTGCTGTAGATCCCATTGTTGAAATGGTTGTTGATAATGAGAGACACATTTTGTATGCCCGTACTGAAGAAATGAAAATTCAAGTCTACTCATTAGGTCCAAATGGTGATGGACCACTTAAGAAGGTGACAGAGGAGAAGAATTTGATCAATCAGAGGGATCTACATAATGGTGGCAGGCAGTCAGCAGGATCAAGGGCTCCTGCTCGATCGGCAAAAACTTCTATAGTTTGTATATCTCCTTTATCCACAGTAGAGTCAAAATGGCTACATCTTGTTGCAATTTTATCGGATGGTAGGAGGATGTATCTTTCAACTACTAAATCCAGTGGAAACAGTGGCACTGTTGGCAGTTTAGGTGGATTCAATAGTAATCTTCAGAAGCCAAGTTGCTTAAAGGTTGTCACAACCAGACCTGCACCTCCTTTGGGAGTGGGTGGTGGTCTGTCATATGGGGCAATTCCTCTTGCTGGTAGAACTCAGCATGAAGATCTTTCCCTAAAGATAGAATCAGCACATTACTCGTCTGCAACACTCGTACTTTCTGATTCATCTCCTTCAACCACGTCTTCACTTCTGATTGTAAATAGGGATTCGACTACACAGTCATCATCATCTGCTAGTTTAGGGACAGGTGTTAGGAGTTCTAGGGCATTAAGAGAATGTGTTTCTTCCCTACCAATTGAAGGTCGAATGCTGGCTGTGGCGGAAGTGCTACCCTTGCCTGATACAGCTGCCACAGTGCAGTCGCTGTATTCACAACTGGAGTTTTGTGGATATGATAACTTTGGAGAGTCTTCTGAGAAGTTGGCTGGAAAACTCTGGGCTAGAGGTGACCTGCCAACACAACACATACTACCAAGGCGGCGAATTATCATTTTTAGTACTATGGGGATGATGGAAGTTGTTTTCAATAGACCAGTAGACATTCTGAGAAGGCTGCTAGAGTCCAACACACCAAGAGCAATATTGGAAGACTTCTTCAATCGTTTTGGTGCTGGTGAGGCTGCTGCAATGTGTCTAATGCTAGCTGCAAGGATAGTCCATACAGAGAACTTTATAAACAATGTTGTTGCTGAGAAGGCAGCAGAAGCCTTTGAGGATCCAAGAGTTGTTGGAATACCCCAGCTTGAAGGTAGTGGGGCATTGGCCAATACCAGAACTGCTGCTGGTGGATTTAGCATGGGACAGGTTGTTCAAGAGGCCGAGCCTGTTTTTTCAGGTGCTCATGAAGGACTATGTTTGTGTGCATCAAGGTTACTTCTGCCTGTGTGGGAGCTTCCTGTTATGGTAGCAGGGAGTGGGTTGGGTTCTTCTGATGCTACGACTGGAGATGGGATAGTTGGGTGCAGGCTTTCTGTTGAGGCAATGCAAGTTCTTGAAGACAAGCTTCGTTCTCTGGAGAAGTTCTTAAGATCCAGAAGGAATCAAAGAAGAGGTCTCTTTGGTAGTGTTGCTGGTTTTGGAGATATGACAGGTTCTATTCTAATTGGAACAGGTGCTGATCTGGTGACTGGTGACCGGAGTATGGCAAGGAACTTATTTAGTCCTTATTCTCGGAATTTAGAGTCTAGTGAAGCAGGCACCTCTAATAAAAGGCAGCGGGTCCCATACAGCTCCGCAGAACTGGCTTCCATGGAGGTAAAAACATAACATTTTTCAAATTTTGTGTTATATAGCTATATTAATCTTGTAAGATCTTAAAGACGCAGGACAAGTCATAAGGGAAGTTGTAAAATTGTTCTTAAATAATACATGGTTTGTAGGTAAGGGCAATGGAGTGTGTAAGACAGCTGCTCCTTAGATGTGGTGAAGCTCTATTTCTCCTCCAACTTCTTTCTCGACATCACGTGACTCGGTTGCTTCAAGGCTTTGATGGGAATACGAAGCAGGCATTAGTTCAGTTGACGTTTCACCAGCTAGTCTGTTCTGAAGAGGGTGACAGACTTGCTACAAGACTTGTATCTGCTCTGATGGAGGTACTTAAATGTGTAATTAAATTACCGATGAGTTCCTGGTTACTCCATTTTTCAGTACCCAGACTATCGACTTGCTATGATTTTAATACAAGTGTTTGACTATCAAGTGTTTACTATTCTTCATATGCTTGATGTGATCAAGTTGTGTTTGCATCTTGAGAAATGAGGGTGTGTTCTAATCTCTCTTATGATTTTCAGCTTGTTCAACAATGCACTTATGCACATCTGTGCTTGTACTAGTCATTTATGTAACAAGCTTGCAAAGTAAAGAAAAATTGCTAAGATGGGACATCTGAAGTAGAAGTTTTTGTATTTATCATTGATTGACTATCATTTGTTTGAAAACTTTTTACGTTCATGCCGATGATATCTGACATTTACAATATGCTTATCCCTAATATTAGATTCTTGAATTTTCTAGTACTACACTGGTCCAGATGGCAGGGGAACTGTAGATGATATTAGTGGCAGGTTACGGGAAGGCTGTCCAAGCTTCTACAAAGAATCTGATTACAAATTTTACTTGGCTGTGGAATGTCTTGAAAGAGCCGCTGCTGCTTCTAACAATGATGAGAGGGAAACACTTGCTAGAGATGCCTTCAGTAAATTAAGCGGAGTTCCCGAGTCTGCAGATCTTCAAACTGTATGCAAACGCTTTGAGGACTTGAGGTGTGCTAGGCTGATGAACCAAATACTTGATGTTTCTTTTTGCTTGTATTGTTTACATGGGTTTGCAATTGCAAAATTAACAAGGTCAAAACTGCAGATTTTATGAAGCTGTGGTTCGGTTGCCTCTGCAGAAGGCACAGGCTCTAGACCCTGCTGGTGATGCTCTTAATGAGCAAATAGATGCTGGAGTTCGAGAACATGCACTTGCTCAGAGAGAACGGTGCTATGAGATCATCACCAGTGCTTTATGTTCTCTGAAAGGAGAAGTTTCACCCAGAGAATTTGGTTCTCCAATCAGACCATCTGCTCAGTCATCCCTTAGTCCAGCTGCTCGGAAGAAGTACATATGTCAGATTATTCAACTTGGTGTGCAATCATCTGATAGAATCTTTCATGAGTATTTGTACCGGATGTTGATTGATTTGGGGCTAGAGGATGAACTCCTGGAGTTTGGAGGGCCGGATTTAGTGCCTTTCTTACAGAATGCTGGTCGTGAACCTACACAAGAGGTTTTCATCTATCCTTTGCTTAAAAATTTCATTCAATTTGAACCAAGTCTATATATGTGGTCTTCATGAGAATGTCAACATCTTCTTGAGCACTTTGGCAAAAATAGCAATCTTATAGCATCTTCCTTCTCAAATAATGGAATATATTTTACTGCTCATCTTTTTTTAACTATGTCTATAGGTCCGGGCAGTTTCTGCTTTAACATCAGGAGCTTCTCCATTGCGCCATTCCGGAGCACCCATTCCTTCTTCTCAAACAAAGTATTTTGAGCTTTTAGCACGATACTATGTGCTAAAGAGGCAGCATGTTCTTGCAGCTCATGTACTATTACGATTAGCTGAGAGGCGTTCTAGTGGTTTGGAAAATTTCCCCACACTTGAGCAAAGGTACCTTCACCTGTGATGATGTCTTTACATAGTAAATCTTCTTATTATACAAAGTAATATAACACATGTTAAGAGTTAAAGAAGATAGCTCGATAGCATATAGACTTGAATGTTCTGTATTTAATAGATGGTTGAAATTCAGTGAACACTATAGTAGGTGTCTGGGGATCCTAAATCTAATGATGTATGTGTGTTTGGTGATGTGTCTGCAATATCTCTGTTGAATGTATGCTATGAATATGCCAGGCAGATGAGTTTTATTGTGTTTAAACAATGTAAATCATGCATGGCACAAATGCATCTTTTTGCAAATATGCTTTGAACCAGGAACTCGTAATCTACACAAGATCCTTTGATCTTCTATTTGTACTACTATTGCTCAAAACCAGTTGGAACTTCTTTTTGCACAAGTATTCATGGAGATGCTTTTTATAGTTTGGCCATCAAGCGTTTTGTAACTGCAGTTTTTGGCCAAACTTCCGTACACATTTTTGAGTGCATTCTTTACTTTTGTTGACTTGCTAACTATTAGATTTTATTGATGTTATATCAGTAACTATAAGATATTTATTGGTGTTAATGTGTAAACTATATATATATATATATGTGTGTGTGTGTGTGTATTCCTTGTTTATAAAATTTAATGTCTTTTTATCTGCCTTCCTTACAAAAAGCGTGCATTGTTCTGTCATGCCCTCTAGACGGGTTGCACCTAATTTCAGTCTGAGTGGCTTGTTCTATAGGTTGTACCCATTGAAATGAAACTCATTGTTACTTGAGGGATCTCTTAACTTCCATAATCTTCCAAGTAGATATTTACAAACATATGGTAGAAACTTTACTGAACCTTTGCTTTTTATGTAATATTTTGGCATTTCTCAATTTCAGGCGCCAATACTTGAGCAATGCGGTTATTCAGGCAAAAAGTGCAAGTGACAGTGATGGTCTGACAAATTCATCCAGGGACAGTGGGCTACTAGACTTACTTGAGGGGAAGCTAACCGTTCTGCACTTCCAAATAAAAATCAAGGGGGAACTGGAGGGAATAGTTTCTAGTTTGGAGGCTTCCCCTAGTACATCTGAAAATGCCCCAAATAATTCTTTACCAGATAGGAACCACTCTCCTGAGGCCAACTTTTTACACTCTGCAAAGGAAAAGGCGAAGGAATTGTCTCTGGACTTGAAAAGCATCACCCAACTATATAATGAGTATGCTGTTCCATTTGAGCTTTGGGAGGTATAATACTTGTTCATTTTCTCAGTGATTTTTCCATATTTTATCTTTAACCTCCCCCTTTTCTTTTCATACCGGTAAAGATTTAATTAGATTATCATGCACTTGTCTGCTTGTCCCTTCTAAATTTTATTTTCATGCTACATATGCACAGTTTGTTCATTTTTGTGTCATTTTGTTAAAATGTCTTCTAATTTTTGTTGATGGTATTTGTTTGATCGTTTTTATGTCATTTTGTTGCAATGTCTTCAGACTACGGTATTATATAAAAAATTTACTTCATATCCATTTATTGTATGCTTCCAGATATGTTTGGAAATGCTATATTTTGCGAGCTATTCTGGTGATACCGACAGTAGCATTGTGAGAGAAACCTGGGCCAGACTCATTGATCAGGCTCTCTCCAAAGGTGGCATTGCTGAAGCTTGTTCAGTACTGAAGAGGATTGGTTCACATGTTTATCCCGGAGACACTGCTGTTTTACCTTTAGATACATTGTGTCTACATCTAGAAAAAGCTGCATCGGTATGATATCTTCATCTTTATTTCATCCATAGAATATCTTTCTTTTGGCATTTTCTTGTTCTTGAAGGAGCTTTTTCTCTCTAACCTCAAAATTAAAGCACTTCCTTTTTTGGGATTTCACATGAAAAACCAATCTGAAAATTTCATGAAACCCCCGTGCTTAACGGATGCCCTCAGTATCAAGCATATACTAGGTTGTATGTGACTTTTTCAGATTGTGAACTACAAAAAAGGAAAGGCCGAAAGGAAACAGTGTCTCTGGGTATTACAAGATTTGATCTTTTTGAAATTATTCCAAGTTAAAATACACGTTTAACATCATGATCGTTACAAATAAGTCAATGGTGTTGATTTGGATCTGTTTTATCTTTTACTGAATGCAATTTTGGATGTTAGACCAATTGTCAGAACAGTTTTCTTAAACCATGTGCCATTCCCAATGTTGTGATCTTCATGGGAAAGAGGAATTAATAGTCAGTTATATTCATGTCTATGTTCTTATAACTATTTATTTTCTAAAAGTTGCTAATTTAGCACTTCTTTGCAATCCTATATATCTATAGGGTCAGGTTTAGGGGAAAACTATAAAAAAATTAAAAACTGAGGAACATCCTAGTAACTGTTTAGCTGTAGGGTATGCACATGTGGATAAAAGTAATATGTAAGTAATTTTTCCGGTATGTAACATGTGCATAGAAACTAGGAAACATCTTTAATTACTTATATGCACATGTGCATACTGTACAAATGACCGGTTATTAGAGTGTTTCTCAGTTTTCTTTTGGGTTTTCCCTTGAACCTCCCTCTCTCTGTCTCTACATATATATGCATGCATATACTCCAGGGTAATTAATAGATGGTTAATCTTATCTTGCAGGAACGATTGGGTTCAGGGGTTGAAGCTGTTGGTGATGAAGATGTTGCTAGAGCTCTTGTGGCAGCTTGCAAAGGGGCAGTAGAGCCTGTGCTCAATACCTACGATCAATTGTTATCTAGTGGCGCAATCTTGCTGTCACCAAGCCTGAAATTACGGCTTCTCCGGTCAGTATTAGTAGTGCTTCGCGAATGGGCAGTGTCAGTTTCTGCACGCGGAATGGGCACAAGCTCGACCGGGGCTTCTCTCATTCTTCGTGGAACCTTTTCAATGGATCAAAGAACTTCCATTAACCATGGGATCCGTGATAAGATCACAAGTGCCGCAAACAGGTTAACTTTTCTTTCCTACTTTTGACATTTTTGCCCTTGTATGATAAAATACTGGTTTAATTCTTATATGGTGATGAACAAACAGGTATGTGACTGAAGTAAGGAGATTGGCCCTGCCACAGACCCAAACGGAGACTGTATACAGAGGTTTCAAAGAGCTTGAAGAATCCCTTTTAACCTCTTTTTCTTTTGACCGATTTTGATTTTGTATTTTTATCGATATTCTTATTGTATGTGTTATATTCTATGATAATATCATCCAAAAAAATAAGAATTTCTTGGATTTCCGAAGCAGCAGATCCTGTGGTTATTTTTATAATAATACATTTTTAGGTAAGAGTGGGTAAAGTGGTTCAGCTTACTAATATCGGGCGACCATGAATGGTCTGGGGTTATCACAGTTGAATCTTAATGTTCACAAAGGTTTTGGTAGCATTTAGATTTGAAACTGACGAATATGAGATTTTCATTACATCCCCTGAGGCTTAACCAATATGTAAGGCTATACATGAGTTGGGTTTATCTGTTTGAATTTGAACAATTCAATCCAATGTTTGTCGGGTTGAAAGCCAAGTGTTTATGTTTGAATGAAGTTAAATATAGATGGGAACCTACAAAAAAAATTAATAATTTAACATTATATAAAATCCATATATTATAAAAGACATTAGGTTGTTGGGTTGAGTTCAAATTATTTTAATCAATTTCTAGTTCAATAGATACGGTTTGACCTAATTTTGTAATTACCTTCGGTTGAGGGGCTTTTCTCGGGTTTTTCAGAATTGGGTCGACATGGTTTTTTGAACAGCTCTATCAATATGTCATTACCAAAGCACTTATAGTTGTGTTCATTAAACAATTGTGAATCGTTATCCAAATATGTCTATTTTGACCACCTCTAACGACAAGCCAAGAGACGTATATCAACATAAACAAAACAAAGGGTCCAAATCATGCATTGTGGATGGATAATTAGAAAACAAAGACCAAATAAATCAGACTTTTGCTGCCTATTTTTTAAAATTATTTATTCAAATATTTATTTACAAAATAATAAATTTTCGTTTGTTATGATGTAACGAATCAACCCATACCAGCCGTATCAAATCATATCTGTTCACAATTTAATTCATAGATATCCAATTAAATTAAACCCTTTTGTATTTAATGACACCAATCTAAAGATCCTTGGAAATCGTATATTTACTATGTCCAACAAATAAATAAATAAATAAAGTCAATAGCCATTTATTATGATCCAATTTTCTTGTATTTGACTTTTCATTAATTGAATTTCTTGGAATTATATATATATATATATATATATATACTTGAGATCATGTGAGACCAATGGTTTTTCGTGAGACCCGTTAGATCTACAATTTGACAATATAAACATTCATAAACGTCACGAGACTTCTCAATAATCACAAAATTGCCACCGTGCAACTTTAGACCATTAGATCATTAACTTATAAAGTTGATCGATGAACATAAATTGGTTTTATGGGTCTCACGAAAAACTTTTGGTCTCACGTGAACCCAGCCCTAGAGAGAGAGAGAGAGAGAGAGAGAGAGAGAGAATTTGTTTCAAATGCAATCCATCACATTTGTACAACCAATGCAACCCAATAAATTGAAATATTTATTATGATTTAAATATCTATGGAAAATGAATAAGGTTCATTAATTATGATCAATACTTTATATTAGGAAACAATCAAAACTTATATGAAATTACATATTTATCAAATTAAATGGACGGTTGAGATTGAGTGGTATTGGTTGTACAAATGTAAAAGGTTGTATAATAACCCACCTATATATACACACACACACACATATGTGGTGGACCGACAGTGTGTTGACGACTTGGCCAGTGATTTAGGTCGCATCAAAGTTGTATTCGTCTTTAATTTAATATCACATGTGACGAATTATAGTATCGCGTCAAGAACACTTTTATCATATATGATGAGACCTAGTAGTGTGCAGCCAAAGGTCGTCCGCGTATTTGATTCGGTATGGCATGCATCATATATGACGGACAATAATATCACATATGATTAACTAGTGTTAGAATAGTGTTCTTGTGTTTTTATAAAACAAATATATTATCGTTTGAACGGTTCTTAATAAGAAAAAAACATGATATCATCTACAAGTTTTATTGTGTAATAATAAATAGATGTATTTAAACTCTTTTCGTGAATAATTATAAAACTATTAAGAAATGAACGTATTTATTTTTGGAAATATATGAAAAAGAAATTACACAAATAGAATCTTTTTTGGGAATTACATTAATGTCCTTGGGACGAAAAGCTGGCAAACGTCTGTGATCAACTTAAACAAACGGTAGCCGTTAAGAGACGGCGTTAGCTCATTCCGTTCATATCTCAAAACGCCAAAACACCCCCCTCGGAAAATAAGAACTATGAAAATGGAAACAAGACACCCTCATCACTCGATCTTCTGTTCTTCTCTGATTCCGATTTATTAGATCTCCGAGTCACTTGATAAGTCTTTAGAATCCTCGAATTTAGTGACTTAGAATCGTTCATTTTGCTCACTGTTTTGTTTCTTCTGTAATTAGTTTTAATTTGTGAAAGGGATGTTCTGATTCGAGCAAGAGAAGATCAAAAATCGGCTTTGATTATTGTTTGAATTGAATAGAGGATTTTGAATTATTGTTTTTGTAACATTGTCTGATATGGCGGACGCTTTATCTGCCATTCCGGCGGCTGTTCTTCGAAATCTTTCCGATAAGTTATACGAGAAACGGAAAAATGCTGCGCTTGAGGTTAGGGTTTTGCTATTTGCAACCGGTGTGGATTTCTTGTTTTTGAAAACTTCAGGGTTTTTGGAATTTGGTTGATCGTGATGGTTTGACTGTTGTTAGGTTGAAGGAATTGTAAAGCAATTGACAGTTGCTGGAGATCATGACAAAATTACGGCCGTGATTAATCTGTTGACTCATGAGTACACTTACTCACCGCAAGCAAATCATCGCAAGGTATACCGGAAATACATTTCTTGATTTTAATTCACGTTTTTAATAATTGTATGTTTACTTTCAGGGAGGGTTGATTGGACTGGCTGCAGCTACTGTTGGGTTGAGCGCGGAAGCCGCTCAACATCTTGAGGTTTGTATTTATTTCTTTGATTGCTTTCTTTTTATTGTATGTGATAAGAGCAATTATATCTCAATGTTGTTTTATTTAAGCCAATCGTCTTAAGTCATAGGTAAATGTGATGGTTTTGTGAAGTTTTAAATGTTGTGAATTTGATAAGCCACTTAGCGACTTGATGAATAGTAAAGAGATTGTAAGCACTTAAATTACCAAACACTAACCAAAGGCCCTTTGTCCTAGCGGTATCGTAGCCTTTGCCCTCCTAGGAGGTCGGAGGTTCAAACCTCACGTCCTCACCAAAAGTGATGAGGGTGTGTGAGTTTATTTGTTGCATTTGCCGTATATAAATTATATACTTCAATTTTCTTTTTACCAAACACTATTCAACTAATGAAACCATAAATGTAAGACAAGTATCAGAAAGCAGCAGATGCTATCCCATTAGAGGAAGTGCTAACATCAATTGTTTAATCACCATAAAAAAAATTGAACAGAAAAAATTCCATGCAAACTATGATGATATGCCTATCTCTTTCTTGGTTGCAATCAAATATACATATAGGCCCCCAGTTAGGTATACTCATTACTTTCACAACATCAATAACTATATCACATAATGTTATTATCATACAATCCTTGTCTGAATGTAGATGCTAACTCTGTATACCATATTCACTAACCAAAATTTGCCAGCTTAAAGGAACTGGTATCTAATTGAGTTGATTTTGTATTTCTTTGGTGCTTGAAACTTTGAATCTGAAATATGAGTGAATATGGGATTTGAGGGTCTTCTGAGATTTTGTTATCCATATTCAACCCTCATAAGCTGCATTCTTAGAACCCAAGTAGAGATTTCATTTTCTCTTGCAAGTTTTATGGTCTTGTTTGTTCATGCATGGCTGTTCTTTGTCCTCATTGTTTAAGGACAACCTTGTTGAAATTTCCAAAGTTTATAGATACTATGGAATATGGAGATGATCTACTTTGGTTGGGGGGTTGTGGTTCATATCACTTCTCCCCAGATGGATATAATAGAACGAAGGAATGACTCTACTAATAAAATAGCAATGGAATACAAAATTACCTGCTTTTGAGAGGTATATTCTCTCCCAAGATGCTTAATTCACTATTTCTAGTAACTATAATCAAATCAAGCATGCAAACCATCATATGCTAATCTCCTACGTATAAAGCTAATTGAATATGGAAATATTATAGGGAATAAATCATTTCTTTAATATAGAGGAGATACCTTATTTTCTTATTATCAAGCCCTAACATTTTTAAACCATAATACCTTATTTTCTTATTATCAAGCCCTAACATTTTTAAACCATTCGAGGCCCACACACTTCTCTAACAGGATATGCAAGATGTTCAACATATAAATTTGTCCCATCAATTTCTAAAATAGATTCTTTAGAACTAGGTCATACTATCTAGCTTATGGTTCTGTTTGTATGTAATTAATATGGTAGACTTTGTTAATCTTTCTTCTATTTATGAGCAAGACTTGGATGGTGTGAGGCAGAGAGTAAGTCAATGTCTTGAAAATGATATAGGATGGTAGCATCATAATCATAACCAATCTTACAAGTTCTTCAATTTTCATACTAAGTAAATTAATTAATGCTTTCAGCCCATGAACCATCTTTTTTTACTCTTTAAATTTAGATTGTTGCTACTTGTTTTGCTGTAAGATACATCATACATGTACACAATGAAGTCTTTCTCAGCAAAAAAGACTATGACAACTTTTTTCAATTTCATACTCAACAAAAAGCATTAATCAATCACATAGTTTTCACGATTATATAATTTACGTCATCTTTATCAAATTTTAATCAAATTAACTAACATGAATGGTCAATTCGGGACACGAGTGATAGGAAAAACAATTTGGCAAAGAAGAACGCTAATAACTCAAGCATTATTTGTGACTTATGTCAGGTAATTTGATTAAATTTAGATTAGAATGATGTAATTGATATGATTATGAGAGTAAAAGTATATTGATAAATTCTTTTTTTAGTTATTTAATTGAAAAAGCATGAAATTATGATGACCGATCTATTTTGCCCTAACTTGCATACCAAAGTGTTCCTTTTCCCAGAAATTGCACAGCCCTTTGATTATTTTATAGATGATTCTCCCTCCAAATCACTAGGTAAGCATACCGTTCCATGTCCATTTGCTCTAGATGTAAATCTTCCGCAGTAACAATACTGAAATTTATAGTGGTAGTTAATTACGCAACAGGGGACATTTTTTTCTGTATAATAATACCCCTTTTTGCAAGTAACCCTTAATCATTAACATGACTTCTAACCTCTTACTGCCATTTGGTTTCTTCTTCACACATTGTACCCATTTGTTGTGTGATGTTTTGGTACAACAAGCAACCCACTTAGAACCCAAGTTCTTCTCTAGGCGGCTCATTTCTTCTTCAATGGCTTGCTCCCACTCGACAGAATCATTTACTTGAATTGCTTCATCAAAGGACTGGTTCATCTTCAACTGTCCACAAAAAGATAATGTAAAAGAGAGTAGAAGACTGCGTTTGTGGAGGCTTGGGTACTCAATAACATTTTCTGGATAATTTTGTGATCTAACTGCTTGATTTTCTTGAGTGATTTCCTTGCAGCTCAACCTTCTCAGGTTTGTCTCCCACTTTCTCCGTAGGATTATAATCCCCACCATTTCTTCTGTCATTGTATAGGGCATTTTCATCGATGGTTAAATCGCTGTCTTAAAAAATCTTTGATGTTTAACATCTCAAAAAGGGTACCCAAATTTATCAGACCCATGAGTAAAGTTACATATAATAGCCTTAGGATCAAGTTTGTCTTTATTATCAGCATTACCATGCACTTAAGGGACGGAACGAGAAGTTATACAGCTAACCTCTTTCTGGACGGTATGTCCTCTGGAATCTTGAAGGCTAGAGGAACAGAAGTCCCTCACTCCCTCTATATATCAAGCAGGCTGCTATGTTAATCCATCCACCCCACAATAGTTTTGGCAATCCTGTTCTACCTTGTTCATTCATTATTAGTTCATTGTTTCAGCAACTCCTTTCATCTTGCTCCATTTGATCCCATCATTGAACTCTGTTTTTCTATAAGCCTCCATTATCAGAGCTCAAACATTTAAATTATTTGGTTAGTCCGATTCTCATCTTCGGGCTTTACAAGCTTCATAACAGAGAATGCATCAGATTTACTTTTCAGAAAAGTAAACTCCTTGCTTTCTACTGAAGTGATCCACGAAAGTAACACAACACTTTGAGCCTCTAAGGATGAAACTGTTGTTGTTCCTTACTATCCGTGTGCTCTAGTTCCAACTTTTCTTCCTTCAGTCTTGCTTTTATTCTTCCAAAACAAACTCTTTTTTTTTGCTTCACAAGACATGGATCTCAAAAAGGGCTAAGCCCACTAATTTCAGATCAGGTGAACTCCCTTTTGAAGCCAAGATATCATTCCTTTTTCACTCGTGTTGGTTGTGTCAGGAGACCATCTTCAGACACAGTTTATAGATTAACACTAAGTTTTCTAGAAACGAAGCTCTGGAGCAGCTCTCCTCATGAAGAGTGGAAAGATGCTCCAGAGTCCAACCTTCACTATTCTGTTGAATTCTCAATGCTTAGAACCAAAGGATCATGAGTCTCATTCATTGATCTGGTCTGTGGTATTTGCCTCATGATTAACAAGCCATGGACCAAAAACACCTTGTTAATGGCACATGGTTCCCCATGCATATTTGCCATGGCTTTCAACAATGTTGTAAAGTTTTCCTTCATTATGCTGACTGCAACATTCCTAGTCAAGGTCAGTCAAGCGACACCCAACAATTGCCAGTCCAGATGCTCCTACTCAACATCTCCCATGGACTCCTCGTCCTGTATAGAAGATGGATTTTTTTTTGGTACAACGTACAAATAATCTTTAATCTGCGTGTTTCAGAATCCAAAATCTTCTTCATTAAACTTGTCCATTATTATCTTACATGCTTATCATTGTAGATCTCTGTGATTAATCTAACCTGGTTTTGGTACGAATTGGATCACTTACACAATTCAATCGCAGGAAACCCAAAACGTACAATATTTACATGGTTCCACAAAAGATGCTTATATCCACGGGATTGCTGGACCTTTTTACTGATTTGTGATTTTTAATACAAGTACTTTTTTTTTGAAAAATGTAGTTTTTAAGGGATAAATTCAGACAGACAACTGGATGAGAGAAAAAGCACTTTCTATACTATGAAGTATGAACCGCTATTTAACCAAAATAACCCAATTCTTTGGATCTGTGAAGTTGGTGACTGTTTTCGACACATATTAGGCTCCATATCCAACAATATATGGAAGTGGAGGTGTTGCTACTCATGTCAATGTTGTGACTCCTAATTATATTTGACAAAGAAACAATTCTTCAGGCTTGAACTTAGCTAGTGCTCACCTAAAGTCTCTCTGCTACAGGCAGTGCTACCTTCCTACAAGTTCTATGTGCTCATCTTTTTTCTTGAATGAGACATCAGCATCTATTGGTTTAAGTTATTTCCACAAGCTTTAGCTGAGACCTAATGTGTTTATAACATTGTAGCAAAACTGAGTAGGTAAAAACGATTCAAATATCTATATTACATGGAATTGCCAATCTTTGGCAGATTGGTAGGCATCATCCATCCTTTGGTATTTAAAAAAGCCGTATCATTAGGGATGATACTTTTGAAAACCGTTCCAAGCCTTATAGTTTTAGTCATCCGCCTCAAGAGGGAGCTCTCGTTATACATGACATACTCCATTCTGTGTATGCATGTTGCAAAATTATCAATTTGCTGGAAATTTACATTATTTTACTGTATATTTTGATAAGTCTTATTGAAGCTCTTTCTCTTCTCTCTTTTTCCTTGCAACCCACCTGCCAGCAAATTGTACCGCCAGTGATAAACTCTTTCTCTGATCAAGATAGCAGAGTTCGTTATTATGCGTGTGAAGCTTTATACAACATTGCGAAGGTGAGAATGAATTCTGAATTTGTCAGATTGGTGTAAGCAATACACTGGGGCTTATCTTATGCCTTTTGCAGGTTGTGAGAGGAGACTTCATTGTGTTCTTTAACGATATATTTGATGCTCTATGTAAGCTTTCAGCAGACTCAGATCCCAATGTACAAAGTGCAGCTCATCTTTTAGATAGACTTGTGAAGGTAAATTGCTGCTTCACGTGTTTCCTTTTTATAAGACCCTTGGAAACCACACGAAAGGGTGTTAAACTTTCACCGCCCTTTAGTTGGTAACCCTATGAACAATGCACAAGTGCGGGTTCACACTTGGAACCTTTTGCCGAGCATGTTCCGACCACTTGAGCAAGCCCAATTAGGTGGCTTGTTTATTTGTTATATCTGTTAATTATGTTGTATGTGTGCTAAATTACATATGAAGAAAGGAATTGTTGCTTTTATTGTTGGAAACAGGACATCGTGACTGAGAGTGATCAATTCAGGTGATTATCATCAGATTTTGTAGTTCCGAGGGTAGGTTTATTTCTTTCACTTATTTGATTTGGGTTCATGCATAATCCCTTTTTTCTCTTCCTTTTTTCTTTATCAGCATTGAAGAATTTATACCTCTGTTGAGAGAGCGTATGAATGTCTTGAATCCTTATGTCCGCCAGTTTTTGGTTGGATGGATCACGGTGTTGGACAGTGTTCCTGACATAGATATGTTGGGGTTTCTTCCTGATTTTCTTGATGGTAAATGATCTCACTTCACAGTTAAATGGTATTACCTGTCAATGTGCTTGTTTTTTTTATCGCAGACCTTTGTTGGACTCAACTGACATGTGAAGATCTCAGGTTTATTTAATATGTTAAGTGATTCCAGTCTTGAAATTCGGCAGCAAGCTGACTCAGCACTTTCAGAGTTTCTTCAGGAGATCAAAAACTCCCCTGTAAGACTTCTGTAGCCAATTTGCTATCCTTCCTCTCATCTTTGTACTATATGTTGCTTTGTCGTACTTTCTGTGTTCAAGGACATAATGACTGGTAGGCACTGGTAATAGTTATCAGGGCTCCATGAACTTGCTGATTTGTTGTGTAAAGAATCATAGCGTCTTTATATCTTCCATGTTTCTGCAAGTGGATTAAACCTCTCATATATTTGCAGTAGCAAATTTTATCATTTATTTGTAAATTTCTGACTCTAGCAGTGCTACTCATGAAGTCTGTAGATTATGGTCGCATGGCAGAAATACTTGTGCAGAGAGCATCTTCCCCTGATGAATTCACTCGTTGGACTGCTATCACCTGGGTAAGGATACTGTCTCAATTAGGCTGTGCTTCTTTTCCTGTAGTTGCACCTTTTGAGATTTTTGGAGAACATTTTTGCAGTTTTCTTGTGTTCATACGTTCATAAGACAACTAATTTTTGCAGATAAATGAGTTTGTAAAACTTGGTGGTGATCAGCTGGTTCCTTATTATGCGGATATATTGGGAGCTACCTTACCTTGCATAGCCGATAAAGAAGAAAAGATACGAGTTGTAAGTTTGTATTCTCTTTATTCGTTGTCTATTAAAAGATGTGAGTGAGAGTTTACCAGTGAAGATGAAACTAAATAGAGGCCTATTAGGCTTTCTAAACTTTAAGTAACAATTGAACATGCCTTGGTGGCTTCTGTTCCTTTGATGCCCTGCTGTATTGGGACATTATTATGATCTCTAAGAGAACCTTCCAAGGTGTGGAGATGTTATTAGCTTTCTTATACAGCCTTCCCAGAAAGAGAAAGTTTCCTTGAAAACACTCGAGGGCAACTCGGTTTTCTTGATGTTAACTTCTTAGAGTACCATACTCTTCAAACTTGATAAAATATGTATACATATTTTTACTACTACAATATCGTAAAGAGATCATTTTTGTATCAGGTAGCTCGTGAAACAAATGAAGAGCTTCTTGCAATCGAGGCTGATCCTGCTGAAGGATTTGATGTCGGAGCAATTCTCTCCATCGTAAAGAGGTGTGACCACCCTAGTTTTTTGTTACTTATCTGAGTATGGGTTTCAGGGTTTGCTTAGGGGGGTTGTATAGCCTTTTGCCAAAGAAAAATCAGTTTGTAAGTACCCATACTGAAGAGTTTATTCTGCGTATATGCTTTTCTTGAATGTTTCACCTCAATTTACCAGGCAGTTGTCTAGTGAATATGAGGCCACTCGGATTGAATCATTGCACTGGATTTCAACCCTTTTAAGTAGACATCGTCCGGAGGTAACTTTGGTCTTTATAATATGTGCTTATTTGCTTTTTTGATAATTACCAGTTCCATTCTAGATCTTTTAATTTGAGTCTTCTATTTCAGTCAGCTCAAGAGTCCTCACATATTGTAAACTGACACTTGCACTCTTGCTCCCCAGGGTGGGTTGGGTTGGGTTGGGTGAGTGCTTGAGCGAGATAAATTTTACTTTGAGTAATAGACATGCTTATGCCTGTTGTTCGTGGACATTTCTTCTCTTTTTCAATATCATGGTTTGTCTTTTTTAACGTCTTTGTTACTTTCTTCTATGTATTTATGCTACTTTCTTGTGAAACGGGCAGGGTCTTATTGGTTGGAAGGGTGAGTATTTTACCAAAAATAGCATCTCTCTTCTTTTATGAGCAAAAGCCTTTTTCCTTTTTTGAAAGGGGAGGGGGGGGGGGGGGTAAATCTGAACCCACAACCCACAACCTACAACCTCCAAGGTCTTATCTCCTAGGGATCAGGCTGTATAGTGGATATCATCCAAGTTCAAGCTGATCACATGATGATAGATCAGCTCTCTATGTTTTTTGCTCCTCTATCATGTGATCCTGGACATATACATAGTGTCCTCAAGCTCATATGAAAATGTTTTACGCCTTTGGTATAAAATCTCCATTCTAATCGATTTTTATGTTGATTATTCGTGGGCCTTATTGTTCAATTTCCCAGTGCTTTATGGTGTTTGCAGATTCCTTTCCTTCAAGTTAAACTATAATTATCTACGCGGAGTTGAAACCGACTCTCTTTTAGTATAGGCCATCTAATGGATCTGATAATATTGGCCTTCTAGTGATTAGGACATGATAGTACTGCTTTCAAAAGTGTTATGCTTAATATGTAAATAAGTTACAGTTCACAGTGTAGTTATGTATGTTCTCTGTTGTGATATTTATTGAGATTCTTATTAATGAGGAAAAGGAAAAAAAAATTAACAAAGGAATAGGTTTATATGTGTAACAGGTCCTGTCTTTTCTGAATGAGATTTTTGACACACTTCTTAAAGTACTGTCGGATCCCTCTGATGAGGTAATCTTTTTCATTGCTGCTTCACTGTCTTAAGATTTTCATCTCACGCATTTACAATTGGTGTGTAACAGTGATCTTCTTTTCTTACTTAAAGATGATAAATGTACAACGTTTTGCTTCTTATTTACCCCATTAAGGGGAAAGGGATGGATGGAATGCAGTGGGGGTTGTAGGGTATAGATATTGATGCAGAGAACCTGGATAGTATATTGGATCATGAATGATATCACAGTCCGTAAGTAGTATTTCGACCCTTTTGCAGCCTACAGGTATCACAAAATGTACTCGGGGATAATCCAAATACACACTCAAGATTTACAAGCAAACTCGAGAGCAAAAGACACATGCTGTTGCATTTTAGATATGTTTAAATTATATCGAAACCCCCTTAAATAGGTAGCTATTCTCTAGTTAGTTTGGGGTGGTTAGGTAGTTATTTCTGGATAAGACCAGATACCAAATAACTACCAACGGATATGGTCAAACAGTACCCGCCTTCTGAATTCTAGACCCATTTTCTGAAGTGGAAGTTCATAAACCAACACACAATTAATGTTCTATCATAAACAGTCATCTTAGAGGATACCAAGAAACTTATTTGAAAGTAATACCGATTTTCAAAATCATGCTTGCGTTGAATCAAACCGTTCACCAACCGAACAAATTCTCTTCCATTTGTCTTGGATGGTTTTTGATTTAAAAATTGGTAAAAGTTGATATATGGACCTCTCTTCCTTCGTTGCTGCTTTTTTGATATTATGCATACCAAAACATCCAGCCAGCTTTGACATTATTTCTAACACGAGTTACTAGGAAAAAATGGAGTCTTTGTCTAAAGAAATGCGACATAATTGACTGCATTGATCTCGGTAGCTATGCCACCCACGGAATTTAAAGAACCTAAAGGAGCAGAAGAATTGGGCGAAGGGGCCATCGAACAGCTGGAAAAAGCCCGGGCTTGCTTATGTTTTAATGCCCGAAATTGCCATCACTGCAAACCTCCTGGCTGTTTCTGCACCCCTTATCGGCTAACACTGTCATATATTTAATCCCGCCCAGATAAGTATGCAAGGTACTTGTTACGAATGGATCTTCGTCTTTACAAAAAAAATAGGAGGATAAATTGGATCGGATTTTGCAGTTTTTTCTTCTGCAGTACCTCGACGTGACATGATTGTGAAAGGGGTTCCCCAAGAGCTCACATCGACGGGAAGGTTTGGCACCTCGATGTCGGGCCACCATTGAATAGTTTTCTAAATAGTCTTTTTTTTAGTCGAAAGAAAAACGAACTTCGAAAGTAGCTGCTTCAGCTTCAGCCACTCGAATTTTCGATGTGGCCTTGATTTTACTAAAGATGATGAGAACGTGAAGATCTTTTAGATGCACATATCCCTCCGGGAGGGCGACTCCATGTTCTGAGAAATATTTACCATCCGAAAAGAGGAACTGGTAGGATGTGTAAAAGATATTATTTGTTTTCCATCACTTTGGCAGGAGTGCAACTTGAATCTTAGGGTTGTGATTGGATGTGGATAGTTGTACGTCTTGTGAAGAAGTTTGACCAGCGACTCGGCCCATATATTTCGCCTCCTTTTGGCCTATGAAGGGGCAGAAAGGCCCGACAATCATGTAAAAGTTTTTTGTCTTCTCTGGAGATGTGTAGTGGCTGGTTCAAGCAGTTGAAACTGGAATATATAAGGAAGTGAATAATAGTTATACATGCATGCATCATTTAAATCCTTGGAACAGCCTGGGAGTTTCTGTTCTCTGGATGCATGGGGGACCTTGTTAAATTGTGCATGGCCATAGATTAATGAAATTCTCCCATCAATTCTGTGCTGCTTATACTTGCGTTATTAGGTTGCAGGATGTAACTCTCATAGTTATGCATCAGTTATGCCCAAAGTTATGTTTCATGTACTTGGGTTGTTTATTCGGTAACTTCACAGGTAGTGCTCCTGGTTCTGGAGGTGCATGCATGTATAGCAGAGGACCAATATAACTTCCGTCAGCTTGTTGTTTTCTTAGTTCATAAATTCCGGACAGATGACGCACTCCTCGAAAAGTGAGCTTTCTTCGCCTTCTGAAGTAAAATTATTGGTCTGATTACTTGTTTTTTTCCTTATTTTGGATAAATTACTGTATCAATTTTTTTTGAAATCCTCGTATAGGCGTGGTGCTTTGATTATCCGCCGGCTTTGTGTACTTCTAGAAGCTGAAAGAGTTTACCGGGAGCTCTCTACAATTCTCGAAGGAGAAGCTGACCTGGATTTTGCATCTACCATGGTTCAGGTTTTTATTTTGTTCCCTTGTTAATTACTCCTCTCCTCCCTATGAAGATTCCACGTTTGATTTTGCAAAGTGAAACCTAGTATTCATATCTAAAAAGTTGCACTTATGTTGTTTTTCTGGCTCAAAACTTCTCATTTGTTAAATATTTTATAGTTTGATATATTTATCTTATTTTCTCGATAGTTAAAAGAATTTTACGTACTTTGTAATTAAAGAACACTTATATGACACTTATTAAAGGTCAAAAGGGGACTCTTCCTTTGGGACTGAGGTAGTATTATATTATGTAACTCAATAACAATATGGTTGATAGTTTGCACTCTTAACTACGAGACTTTACAGAGGCCTTAGAAAACCTGATCCGAAGTTTATTACTTGCAGCTTCTGACTTTTTTTGTTTTTCATTTTTATTCCAGGCTTTGAATTTGATTCTGCTCACTTCTTCCGAGCTGTCTGACCTACGTGATCTTTTAAAGCTATCACTAGTTGATGCTGCTGGAAAAGATTTCTTTCTTTCACTATATGCCTCGTGGAGCCATTCGTCAATGGCCATAATAAGTCTATGTTTATTGGCACAGGCAAGTCTTTATCTTTTTCTTCTTGGGTGCTATGCCTATATCAATATAGTTGCAATCTCTCCTCCTTCCCTCTCACCAAACAGACAGCTGAAGAACCAGGATAATTTATCTTCGTGTTAAACCTAATGCTTTTCTAGCATTTTGTTTGCTTTGTGTTATAGGCTTATCATCACGCAAGTTGTGTCATTCAATCTCTAACAGAGGAGGATATTAATGTCAGATTCTTGGTTCAGCTGGACAAATTGATACACCTATTGGAGACTCCAATTTTTGCTTATCTTAGGCTGCAGGTATGTTGGCTGCTCTTTTTCAAGGTTGAGTCATTAAAAGTTGACAAAATGCTTTGCTTTTTAATTTAGTAAATTTAGAATGGAAACAAAGTTTAATATGCTTATTCGTTATTCCGATTTTAAGTTATGGAGTTATTGGACGGAAACCCATCATAATGACATACATGACCAAAATTTGGACTCTGTAAATCAGCTCTTTTTTCTTATTATCTCATTGTGTGATCATTTCAATCTTCTCGTCTTACTTGCAGCTTCTTGAACCTGGAAGATATATATGGTTATTAAAAGCCTTGTATGGTCTTCTGATGCTCCTTCCCCAGGTGTGTCTTGTTGATGTGATTTGCCACTTAGTTACTCCCTTCGTCTCAAAATAAATGTTCACGATGAAAAAGGCACACAGTTCTCGAAATATGTAATCATTACGCTTTTTAATGAAAAAGGCACACAATTTTACACTTTTTAATAGAGGGAGTAATAAATTTATCTATCTCATAATTAATGGTAGAATTGAAAAGTAGGTACTTATCTTTGGAAGTGGTAACTTATTTCTAAATGACAATTTTACCCCTAATAATAGAGGGAGTAATGAATTTATCCATCTCACAATTAAGGGGTAGAATTGGAAAGTAGGCATTTATTTTGGGACAAACAAAAGTTAGAAATATGAACACTTATTTTGGGATGTGGGAGGGGGGGGATTTTTTTCGTTGGCTTGTCACAATTCTTGGTGCTACTTATGTACATTTATTTTCAGATCCCATTTCATGCGTCTTTCTACTCGTTATTGCAGCAAAGTACGGCCTTTAAGATCTTAAGGACTCGATTGAAGACGGTGCCTGCATATTCCTTTGACAAGGAGCCACTCAAGCGTACATCATCGGCCAACCCTTCCATACATACCGGTTACATGTCAACAGGGATACAGTTGCCTGAGGATGGTAACATGAACGATATTTCTCGTAACATGCATAATGGGATAAACTTTGCTCCTTGGCTGCAACATTTTAAACAGATGCAGCAGCAGCATCATGTGCATTATAAATCGCAAGCACGTTCACGCAACAGTTCCACATCCTCAAAGGTTCTTCCCTTTTACTCCTCTTTGAACATATGAGTTGCTCCCTTAAATTGGAAAGCCTTTATAGAAACATCGAATATGCTTTGAACCATGTGGATAGAAAAGCTTACTCTCCCATCAGCAGTTTGTCATGCTGTTTGGACTTCTCACAAGGGTGTCTTTTTACCCTTCCGTTTGAGATTCTTCTGAATTTAGTCAAGGAAGTTTAGACATGTATCGAGTAATCTACAGAAAGAGTGCCAAATTCAGCTTAAAGTTACTGAAGAACAGGAATATGTATGAGTTAGAATTTAAGTTTGGTATACGTATTGGACTGGATTGGACGAGACTGGTGGGAGTGAGGTAGGCGGGTGAAAAAATTATGGAAGGTTTTAGGGCTTTAATTTTGACATGGGTAATTTAGTAATTTACCAATCTTGTCGCACCTTCTTGACTTTTGTTCAATCTATTTTGGTGCGAAAGAAGAATAACGTATTTTTTCTCACTCAGGTCTAGTTTTGTCCCGGTCTAATGTCGTACCAAACGTGGGACAAAGTAGTTTTTGTTTCGTCCGGTCCGGTCCTGTCTTGTCCTCTCCTATCTTATCCTGCGTACTCTCTGAGAATGAAGGTCTTCCACTATTGTCAACTGTAGTATCTGAGAATGAAAATTCTCCAACCTGAATATCTATCTGGTAGAATTTCCCCAATGCTGATCTCATGGCAAGTACTGGAATGGGTATATGATATGCACTTGAAAAATGGCTCGACAAAAGCTCTTGATACCGTTTTATCCTTCTGGTGTAGACGTGTAATGAATTATGCAATTTGATAATTATACGTCACTCGGCAGGTCAAGGATGTCCAAAAACTTGAAGAACTTAAAAGACCGGCTGTGCCAGAGATGAGCAGGCCTCCTTCAAGATTATCCCGTAAAGCTACCGGACAATTACAACTATGATGGATGTTGATCAATCCGGTACGAATTGGTAGATTGTATATCATAGTATTCTTTTTTGTTCTATCTTGATTGAACCTGTGAACATTGTCCTTCTATTCTGTTGTTTCTTATTTTCTTTCCAGAATCATGCTTGGATTGGATGCCACCAAGCTATTCTTTACTCTGGACTATTGCTCTTGTGGTTGTGTTATTTTTGTTGAAAACCACAGGACCAGAGGGGTAGATATTTGAGTTAGAATTTGCAGTTACTATTCTTATAATAACAAACTCTTTTGTTACCAGCTTAATGAGTTTAATGGTACTAACAACTTATTTGTTAGCTATACATAACTGTTTGGTAGTAGGTTAATGATATAGAAAATGGCTTATTCAATAAGCTTTTTTGAATAGTCATTTCTTTTTGTTACTCTTGCTCTTTCTTTATCCGGATTATGATCCCCCAAAAAATAAACAGATATGGAAGCTATAATTGTAAACCACGATCGAATCTATGGAAGCATTGATTTATACATTCCTCTTAGTCTCGACTCTAGGGATAAATTTTTTCGCTATCTTTTTTAGAGAAACACCGAAAGTTCCAACTAAGAAAATATGAAATGATTTTCCATTATCGCTATTGAAGTAACGAACCTTTCAAAACTTTATGCAAAAAGCCAAGTACTTTTCCAAACCTACCTCTTTTAATTAAAAAGCATGCTTCTATCGAACATTTTTTTTTCAATCCACATAGACAAATTAATCTATCTATAAACTTGTCCCATGTTTAGTGCGGCAATTAAGTGTATTTTTTTATCCTATAAAAATAAGTAAAACAAAAAAAGATTGGTAAATTATCAAACCACGCATATTAAACTAAAACCTTAAAACCTTGCACAATTATTCAACCGCCTACCAGGCCATTCTTGTTTGCGTATCAAACACACCATCGGGCTCGATTGAAACCATGCACACATAGGGTTTATATCGACCTTGGTCTCGAGCAATGAAACGTAGAACATCGATACAAACGCTAAAACATGAATTCGAAATCTGTACAGCAGATATGTACATAAACTACAAGAGGTAGCCTTCATAATCATATATATTAGAGATTATGATTTACATTGATCTCGTGGTAAAACTGGGAACAGAAGTCTCTCCTCACAGAGCATATATCATTTCATGGTCGGATTCGTCATCCGAGATATTCGCCGAGTGCATGGACCACGAGAACGACTTGCTTCCGCTCGGCCTCCTAATCCGTCTCTGTGAATCGCTACCAAAAAACCCAAAATGTTGCTGGAAAACAAAGTAGCACAAGCTAACGAGCGTTCCCAACAGAATTGGAACACCAACCACCGTAATCGTGACCGCCATCCACGAACTCCGCTTTCCGACCACCACAAACGCTATCGAACAAAATGCCCCACAAGTGCTGATCCCAGCCGCCCACATCAGCTTGTTGACAACCGAAACAATCTGTCTCTGTGCACGGGTGTCCCACGCCACCAACGTGATCTGAACCACCACCACCGCTAACGATATGAAGAGGGAAGTGGCGTTGAACAGGCAAAAAGCACGGAAAGCCGGCGTGTGAGCTATGTAGGCCTCGCCGGCTTCTTTTCCCGTCCTCAAATACTGCCCCGGCAAATTGAAAATAGCCAAGAAAGCTATCGACGCAAAGAGAACAGCAACAACAGTTAACGAGTTAATTGTGTTTTGAACCGCTTCCCTGTGAATCTTTTTGAGTTCTTTCGCGATACCCGATACCCGTCTTTGGGTTTGCTCGTTCTGAAACAGTTGCGATTGCACTTCATGCTTGATGTCACTAACTGTCCTTTTGAGTTCCATCGCTTCATCGATCCTGCCAACATGTCGAGCGTGTTTAGCACCAACTTCACCCAGAGCTTCCGTGATTTCCAACTTAGGCGGGCCGTAGTTCAACTTATCGGCTATATCCAAGGCGGTTTCTTGTGCATTATTGATCGCATTCACATTGATCGAGGTAAAACTCAGCAAAAAACTCACAATCTGCACGATTTAAAAACAAAATGATCACACAAACGGAAACACGAAGGATGGTCGGAAAAGGACACAACAAATCAAAAAAGTACCTGTGATCGGCTTTTTCTAGTAGCGATATGAATAGCGGTGTTACCCTTTTTGTCACGCTCGTTCAAAATGGAATGATCGGCGAGTAATAGATCCTCGACCACAGTAGTACTTTGGCCTTTTACAGCCATATGAAGTGCAGTTTGACCCTTTTTATCTTTGATGGCTACAATTGATGAATCTCTTTCTATAAGCGTTTTTACCATACTGGTCTTATTGTATCTAGCTGCTGTATGCAATGCAGTTTTCCCATTCTTCCTTAGGATCTTTATGCAACTAACATCTGTATCTAACATCGCATTCACAACCTCGAGATGATCATTCACGGCCGCCGAGTACAGCGGGCTCGTGTTTGTACCATCACATACTTTACAAAGTTCGGGCCACAATCCCAAGAGTACCTTCGCGATTCCTGGACGTATAATAACATACGTTGTTAGATAAACCAAACCAAACCGAACCAAGGGGATATTTATTGGAAAACCTTGTATTTTCTGTGAGATCCATTCACAACGACAGAGGTTGAACCCATACATGGTAATATATCTAATCTCGTCCTAACCCCACCGGTTAACACAAATTACTTTGATGATAAGTGGAACTGTGAACTCGGGTACCAGTAAATTCCGGCTATTTGGCTGAATGATCTTCTCAAAAACTGAATTGAAGAATCTAACCCTCTAATGAATTTCTAAGTTTTCATGGGAGCAGACGGTGTTTGGAGGTTGTTTTGTGGTTAAAAATGGTGTAATTTGATTCTATAGTGTGAGTTATAGGGGACGAAAATCACAAAATTCAACGGTTTCGAATGCAATTGGAAGCTCAAACATAATGAATTCAGTAAAAGCAATTGATTGAAGCAAGAGTTGATAAGATCTAGAGAGATTTTGAGTACCTAAATGACCTCGTTTGGCTGCGATGTGAAACGCATCGAAATCTAATTTAGACCTAATCTTCACTGTTTGAAGATCACAGAACTTGAGCAGATAAGTGAAGATGTCCTGGAGATTGCTCTCGGCGGCGATGTACAACGCCGTCTCTCCGGCGTCGTTCTGCATCGCCATTAGAGCAGACGCCGAAGCTGTGTCGGAATCTTCATCATCGTTTACGATAGCCTTTAGCGATTCAAGGTCGCCGGATCGGACAGCGGAGAAGAAAGATTGATGCGAGATGAATCGCAGTGATTTGGATGATGATGAATCCATAAACATCTGCGGATGATCAAGAAATCCCTCAAATTTCTCTCTCTCTTATCTTGTTGCTAACTAACGAATTCAACGGTGAGAAGAACTGAGAATCTTTCTTTTTCTTTACACTAATTTGTACAATAATTGCTTGTGGGGTTCCATTAAATATTTATTTGAACCACCCAAATTTGTTGTTTTCTGCTGTAAAAATCATAACTTTGATGCGTTTCAACAGAGAAAATACTTCTTTACTGTGAGTGCGTGTTTTTATAGTTTTAGTTGTGGAACCACCGGCCGGAAAGTCTACGCCGGCGGTTGACTTGAAGTTTTAGACTACTCCTTCTACATTGGAAATAATCCAATCACACCCCCTTTAGTTTTTAATATGTCATATTTATCCTAATTTGCAGGTATATTTTGATCGTTTTGGTGATTTTTTTTTTAAATGGAGAAGATGGAGATTATAAGCATGTTTTTGTTTCGACAGATTTTTCAAAACTTTTTTAAAAAAATAGAGAAAGTAGAAAAAAGAGCGTAAAAATCTCCAAATTTAGAGAACACCTTAAAAATGAAGAAAACTTTGAAGATAAATATTTAGAGAGAAAACTAATATCTTATTAGATGAAAAGAATATTTTAATGATATAATCAGTTTGTAATATCTAAAATGGAGAATTTGTTGGAGTTGAATGTAGTCTTGTTTTAGAGATTTTAAAGTTTCATTTTCCATTTTAAAGAATCTGTTGGAGATGTTGAAAGTTGGGCATAGATCAAATTTCAGGTAGCTCAAGTGTAGTGTAGACCACTTCTGATATATGGTCGAAAGGGAATATTGTAACAATACTGTTGTCAAGTGAGCTAAGAATGGGTCCAGGGTTTTTTAGGTCTTGGGGTTTTTCTATACATTTCTAAGACCTGATAATCAATTATGTGTTATCCAAACGATGAATAAAAACAAATTTAGTTTTATTATGGTTTCCAAAAAAATTGATAGTTTGCTTCCCGAAACAGGAAGATAAAGTTCGTTTTATTTCAGTATACCAATTTTAGTTATTCAAAAATCAACAACTTTTGATTTTATGGCCGCTATATATTAATATAGGGATGTAATCATATATATATGAACTTCATATGTTGTGATAATCATAGAACTTTTACCTTAAGGTGTCATTTCACATAATTTTTTTCTCATATGAGGCTAGCATTTAGGTAGCGTTTGGTATGCAAACATAATTGGACATGACTGAACTGAACAAGACAAGACATGACAAGAGGATAGAACTGGACAAGACATGACTGGATGAGACATGACTGGACATAACATGAGTATGTCTAGTGTTTGGTACTAGGACTAGACGGGACAGAACTAGACAAACTATCCCAAAAAATTATTTGATGATTTTAAATATTATATAATAATTATAATTAACACCGACTTGATTTTGAGGGTGCTGTGAAATATTTTAAAACCAAATATTTAACATAAATTTAAACTTGGTGGGATGGTTTAACTTAGTTGTGTTAAAGCTCTCCTAATCTTAAATCAAATTTAATAACAAATTGAATACTTTATTAATTTCATCTTCATTTTCAAATTTGAATTCAATTTTTTGTTGATTTATCGAGTTTTTTTGTTATCAGCTTTTCCTAAAATTATAAGTTTTTTTTTTCTCTTGGTTTATTTGTATTTCATAATTTATTTTTAATTATTGATTTTGATAATTGTCTTACTCAAATCCTATATGCATATGTTAATTTTGAGTTGCAAAACATCCTACGTAACAATAGGAGTTCTATTTGTACAAGGAAACGAAATTGAGAACTGAGACAAAAAAAAGGCCATTCAATATCAAATGCAAAAAAAATGGAATTTTTTTATGAAATCAACCAAAAAAATGAAAATTTTATGAAATCAACCAAAAAACTAAAAAAGTTTCTCTTAAGGGTGGAATTCGGCTTAGTGTTTTGCTCAGAAGGTGAAGGTCGATTCAATTTGAGAATGTATTATTCCCGAAATCGATATAAATGACTTTCCATCGGGTCAAACCATGTTGATTTTTCCCTCGATATATTGAACTACACGGGCCTTGACCCAACTTAAAAATACACCGCTCAAGAAATTTCACACACACACACACACACATATATATATATGGGATCACGTGAGACCAAACCTGTTTTCGTGAGATCTATGAGACCGTTTTTTACACTTGAACTTCACAGTAAAATGCTGTGAAAGTAACATTCATAGTGTTTTCGCTGTGAAAGTTCGGCTTTTTTACTTCACAACGTTTTGCTGTGATGTTTCAAGTGTAAAAATGTGTTCTTATGGATCTCACAAAAACATGCTGGTATCACATGAACTCAATCTTATATATATATATATATATATATATATATATGGGAAGGGTTCAAACGAGAACCCCTGTGATTTACGAGAACAACTCAATAACCTCATATTGTGATAAAAAATAAAATTAAAAGATTTTTAAAATTGAAATTTAAAAAGATTCAAAAAATATTAAAATTAAAAGGGAAATAATGAAAATGATATCATCAAATATTTTAACACGATTACACGATCATTATTATCATTATTTAATAAACGGTTAAAGAATTCAAGGAGACTTGGAAGTCATCAAATCGAAAAACAACCGTGATCGACCAAAAACACACAACCTTAATCGACCAAGAACCCTAATCGATTGCATGCAACAATCGAACAACAAGAAGAAGTTTATTCAAGGTATCTTTCACAATTACTCGTTTTGGACAAGTTTTTAATTGATGATATGAGTGTGATAATCACCGTTATACATCACTTGGGTTATCGTTTTGGTTGATAAATTAAATTTTTGGTGTAATCATGTGATATAAATGTGATAATCACCGTTATACATCACTTGGGTTATCGTTTTAGTTAATAAGTTAAAATTTTCGGTGTAATCATGTGATATGGGTGTGATAATCACCGTTATATATCACTTGTGTTATCGTTTTGGTTGATAAGTTAAATTTTTGGTGTAATCATATGATATTGGTGTGATATGGAGAAGAAGAAAACTAACAAGAGTAAAACGTAGAAACGTGATTAATTAAAATAAAATAAAAATTATAAAAATTACTTAATTACATTACTATTCTTATTAAATTATTTATATACAATAAAAGTTAATTTATTAATTAAAAAAGTTTGAATTTATTTAGTTATTCTCACGTTCTTGTAAATTACAAGGGTTCTCGTTTGAACCTTCACTATATATATATATATATATATATATATATAATATGACATAAATACATTTAAGTGGAAGGTAAGAAAATTACAAAGAAATGTTTATTGCCGTCCGTTTGTATGAATATTTTATCCAAAAGTTATTGATTTCAGACAAACAGAAGATAAAAGAAACGAGGTGACAAAAGAATTAAATATTGAAGTCAATTTCGGGTCCTAATTCCAAAAATTAACACTTGGGAATATAAAATTTTCAATTAAATAATCCATTTTTTATTTCAAAAACCTAAAACACATTATGAAATAATCTTCCATTTCCACCATTAACTTAATGGTTGTTTGTTTATCTTTTAATAGTTTCATTAAAATATGATATCTGAATTGTTAAGAGATGCATCTTGTTTGGTAAAAAAAAAGTTCGTCTCTTAATGGTTCTAAGACCCTCTGAATGATTTTGTATCATGGATCTCCCTTAACCATTAAAAGCCCTAATTTCATTGTATATAATTACCAAACAATTATATTTCATTATGTACTATATCATGATAGTCTCTTAATTATTCTGACCATTTAATCATTCTGCACCAAACCATTCAGCAATTGCCAAACAGCCTATTATTCGGTGTACGACATTTTTAAGGATTTAGAATATGAAACCATCCAAAATAAAATTAAGATTTTTAAATATTTCGAAAATTCATCCCAAATAAACTTTGATATACTGAGAAATTCAAAAGAAAAACAGTATTATTATACTAAAAAGGTCTTAACAGAATTTCCATCCAGACAAAAAAGACTCACAAATAAGTTTTTCAAAAATTTTATAGAAAAATAACTTGTACGTATTCTGTTATCGTATTTCATCAGATATTAAGAAACAACCTGATATTTAGCAAGTGAACGAGCCAACAAACCAAAAACCCTAACCATGATAAAATCAGTGAGAAAACAAACAATAATTCTTCATTGTCTATATAACTAGAAGTCTCAAGACAAATAGTATCTACAAAAGTACTGAAAGTTGAAATATTAAATCATATCAGAAGAATATTTTAGCATTTACATATAAAAAACTCAAAGATTTTCCACAAAATACTCAAATGCCGAATCAACTTCCAAATTTAATAATTCATATTTTAATTTAGCATAATGTTCGCTGATAGATGATCTGACTCTTTAACCACCAATATACCCATAAGCATATTGAGCAATAAAAAAACCGCAATCAATAATAATTAAAATAAAAAAAGACTTTTAAATATGTATTTGCAAATTAATTACTACAACTTTAGTAATTAAAATCAAAGAATCATGCATTTAATGTTAGAAATGATTATGGAAATCTTAAAACTTAATTATTATTCAACTATAATTTAAAAAATCCAGAATTTATGGAATAAATTGATTGGAAGCCATATATAGATGTAGAAACGGTGTTGGTTTGAAATTTGCGGATTGTAAGGAGGTGCGATGAATCACACCCATTAATTTCATTCGCATAAAGATCTCGTGAATCCTATACATATCCAGTAATTATGATTGTTTCGTAGGAGGAAGAGGAAGAAGAAAGAGGGGGGAAGAAGAAAGATCCAGTTTCTAATCTTGAATCTTCCCTTCCATCATCATCATCATCATCATCATCATCGATCCAATCTTCTAATCGACTGATTTGATCCATACCCATCTACCCTCTTTCAATCCACTCTCGTTTCTGCAGCCCATCGATCATGGGTTTGAGGAATCTCCTCAATCGGAAGAATAAGAACAGTAAGGAGAAAACCAGTGAAAAGGGTGTCGTTGAAGACACCGAACTCATGAACACGACACCAGCCGCATCTCGTGTCGACTCGTACGACGCTCATGTGCGGATCGAGGAGGAATTGGAACAGGTGTTTAAGAAATTCGATGTTAACGGTGATGGGAAGATCTCGTCGTCGGAGTTGGGATCGATCATGGGAAGCCTTGGTCAGCGGCCATCGGAGGACGAGTTAAAGAAAATGATCCTGGATGTGGACGCGGATGGTGACGGTTTCATTGATTTACAAGAGTTCATCGAGTTGAACACGAAAGGGATCGATTCCGCGGAGTTGATGGAGAATCTGAAAGACGCGTTTTCTGTTTTCGACATCGACAAAAACGGGTCCATCACGGCGGAGGAGTTGCAGAACGTTTTGGGTAGTTTGGGGGAGGATTGCAGCCTTGGAGAGTGCCGGAGAATGATCGACGGCGTCGACCAGGATGGGGATGGTATGATCAGCTTTGATGAATTCAAGGTGATGATGATGGGGCCACGAATCGTTGCAATTGACCATGAGATGACGCTCCAACATCCATCGAATTGATTTATTATCGATGGTAATCATCAAACAAATATTCCCCAAAATTGAAAGAAATTCTGTCATCATCTTCAACCTCTTTCTCCTCCATGTTCTTGCAGAAATTTTGGGTTTCATTCTTTCTGCAAAGAATCATGATCATAAGCTTATATTATCAATATAATTGATCTTCATTTTCAACAACTTCAGTTATCATTATTATCTGTTTGTTCCCATTAATCGATTGAAACTGTGTTATCAAGAAACACCCAACAATCATTGAGGTTGGTTTTGTAGTTTCTGGCATCGAATTGAACGACAACGAATCATGAATATATATTTAAGGTTCTAAGTGTGTAGCTCAGTTAGTAAAAAGGCGAGGTGATTTTGTCCAAATACAAAATAAGTATATGGTTTGATTACGCCCTACCCTATACACGCTAGTCTTAGTTGCTGAGTGAATTAAAAAATGTCCTCTCACATTGGTGTCTTTAAAGACGGGTTCTATGTAGAGTCAGTTAGGGTTGCCGACTTTTGACTATATATATTAAAGTACACATAATGATCATTTATACATAGTCCAACATGAAGAGTGTGTAAAGTTGGTAAAGTCAATTTTATGAATAATTGTTATTGTCTTTTTGTACTTTATGAATCGGTGATTGTATCAATAAAAGGTTCTTATAAATAAAAAATGTTGGTATTTTAAAAGGTAAAACCGATCATATTAAAACCTTCTAATGTTTAATCATTTAACCAGAGATTAAACGAGTTCATAAGCAAATTATGTTATACATATATATAAACTACTGTATTGATATATGATCTAAGTTAAGTGTTTTAACACGACCAACTTAGCCCATATGATTTGAGCTTGGTAGAGTTACGATTTTGGAACGTTTTGATGGTTTGAAGCTGTCAACTCGATCCATATGCACCCTACGTGAAACTTATTATTGAAAGGTTTCCTAATATAGGTTCTCAAAATATTGGTTTATAAAGTAGTTTGTGGCTTACGAAACCGTCACTTTTTAATAGATTATTAAAATAAGCTAACTAATTATAATGACATTTCTAACGGTTTCTTTAAAAAAAAATCAAAACTTTAAAAATTAAAATCACTCAAAAATTTTAAATTTACCTTCAATAGTTTTTCTATTTTGACGATTCTAGCATTAATTGTATTATTAGAATATTCAATGCATTTAATACCCACCAAACACCTAAATGGTAATTTTATGTTCATTTTTTTTATCAAAATTTAATTTTGAAAATTTCTTCTCTCTCCTTTAATATAGGAAGAATGTATTCGGTTTCATGTTTTCCCAATTTTGGAGAACGTTTTGAAGATTTTATTAGATGAAAAAACCGTAAAATCTTCATTTTTTTTTTCAAATTTAGAGATTGTGTTAGACATGGATGGACCTATTGAGCCCTAAGGAGGGTATTGTGCATCAACTCAGTTTATTTTGTAAGTCGATTTTTTTTTGGTATAAAAGATGCATCTCTAAACTTTGAAGGGTGTCCCATATATTAAAAATAGAGTAAACATAAAAAAAAAAAAATCAAAAAAGTCCCTCAAAATCAACCAAAAATTTGAAAAAGTCGTTCGAAATCAACCAAAACACTTAAAAATCTTTCAAAATCAACCCAAAAAAACTTTAGAAACCCTCAAAATATTAAAATTCGGATAAAAATACATCATATGACTTTACGGGTCCTTAGTTTACCTTAAAGGTGCATCCCCTCAATAAAACTCAAAAATCCACAGTTGTTTTCAGAAATGCTCAATTTTTTTGAAGTATATAATATTTATATATGACAAATAAAACAAATAAACTCACACACCCTCATTATTTTTTGTACTGTTTGAACTTTTGACCTCCTAAGAGACCAAATACTCGCATATCGCTAGGCCAAATGCCCTTTCGTTACCAAACATGACCAAAAACTTGTATACGGAAATTGAAGTTACTAATTTTACATAATACTTCCTAATGAGCAAGAAAGTATTTAGATCCGACACTTTTATATAAAATATTGACTATTTGTAAAGTTGCCTAGAAAGTAGAAATCACTTTAGAATTCTTTAGGGGACTAAACATGTATATTAGGAAAACCTCAGGGATGTGTTCAAAATTTCCCAAACTCGATAACCTTACTCACCACGAATGATTTGATTTGGAGCTCCTAATCACGAATGCTCAACAGTTGCTCTAGTTCGGGGAGTGAAAATGTCGAATTTGATGAGCTCTACAACGAGCAAGATTATGTTAATGGCTACGAGAGACTACTGTTTGACTATAAACTCAAGTGCCACCAGGGTTTTAACTTTCCACCGTCGTTTAACCTGCTCCGCCGACGCAACTCCACGGTTAGTTGCAAACCCACCTGACCTGGTCAAATGGGTCAGAAGAGAAGGTGGTTTCGTGCACCCATCTGTGCGAATTGCAGAATCCGGCCCGTATGGGCTTGGGTTGGTCGCGTCTGAAGAAATTCCCAAAGGGTCTGAACTGATTGCGCTTCCGGAGCACATACCGTTGCGGTTTCCGTTGGTTGATTCTGATGGTGGAGATGAGTCTTACTCCAATTTGGTCAATCTCGCTCGTCATGTTCCTGGTATGTGATTGATTTCTTTTAGTAGTCTTTTGGAGAATTTTTCAATCTGGTGTTTCATTTATTAGCAAAATAACGATTTTGAATATGCCATTTTGTGAAGCGATGTCATCTTTTTTTAATACTTTTTGGATCAATACCTGTTGTTTGGAAAATTAGAATGCCAGCTCCATATATGTATCGATAATCACACTCGCACAATCTCAATTGTAGGAAGCAAAAAATAGAATACTATATCTATGTAGTTCAAGTGTTCGACAAAATGCTTACATCAATATGTGTTACTAGGCTTTTGTTATATGTGATTCTTGAATTTTGATACAAAGTACAGCGATTGATGAAAAAGGGGACATGTTTTTCGAAAAAAAAAAATCAAACAGAAAAGAGTACAAGAGAGAAAAACTTCCATTCTCAACCATCAACTTCCATACTTTATTAATGGAGTTCTTTCAATGTTGGATTTGCAAATTCATCTGGACCTATTTCAGCTTGAATTAGGCTCCATATCCCACAAATGTGTGATACTCGTATAATTGATGACTGATTCTATATATTTCTTGTTAAGTAATAAGACATTAAGTTTGTCCACAAATTGTTTTAACGATTGAATTTGTGCCAAATTAGTTTCTATGGTATGTCATTGGGATGCTTTGTGTTCGGATTACAAAAGAATGTGAGAGTATATATGGAATAATGGATCTGTGCTGATTCATTTGACGTAGAAATGTATGAGTAATAGATAAACTACAGGAGATATTAGTGATCATTCTTAGTTTGCCACATGGTTTGTATTTGATATTACCTTTGTTCCAATGGGTTTGCTTGTTGAGAGATATTACTTTCCATATACAAGTGGATATGGACTTTATTATCTGATGATCACCAATCTTTTTCAATTTATAGAACTTGTGATTTTAATGTGGTTATTGGTATTTTTTACAAACAAAAGAATGGACTTAATAATCCATACACAAAGTACATTAACACACAACAGGTGAGACTGAACATATTACTTCACTTTGTTTTTGAAGCTTCCAAAAGGAGCCTTTTGACTGGCTTTGTGCAAATAAAATGCTTCTATCGGTCTTTTTAACTTATAAGCAATATTATACATCATTTTTTACCTCAGACAGAAAAGTACCGTAAGTTTTACATTTTGTATCTTTATCTTGTCCTAAATGCTTTTTCATCAAATTCTTCGTAAAATAGTTCAAATTTTATTTGAAATTCACATGTTCTATGAAAAAATAATTGTACTTCTTATAAATTACATATTGATTGTGACTTTGGGTGGTTCACATCTCATAAGTTTATTTTTGGTTGTAGTGAGTATTATCCTAATGTTGCTTCGGTATCTAGATTACCTACGCTAAAAACCCTTTTTACGTTGGATAATTTGGTGTTTTGATGATCCATTGATTCTATATTTTGGAGTAGATGTTGGCTAACTGGAAATCGTATAATTTCTTGAATCTAAATCTAAGTGAATGATTCTTTTCCTATCATTCACATAATAACTTAGCAATCCACATTTGTAAAAGATAAAAGCAAAACCCAAATAAGTAGTGATGTGCTTAAGTTCTTGCTAAGTCTATGTAGTAAGTCGAATAAAAACCACAATATTTCCATTTGATGCAGTATGCAAAGGAACTTTAAGCTGCCTTGAAAAATCTCCTATACCATGTTTTAGGGTGAAATCTAGTATGTTTATTGTTTAGGGTGCATTTGATATGCTATACAGGACTGAGTTAGACAGAAGTGCATTTTTCCTATCCCACCAATATAGATGGAACAAAATTCAGGGAGATGGCACAATCTTGGTAAATTACCAAACTACCAATATCAAATTATAACCCTATAACATTCCACAATTCTTTCACCCACCTACCTCACTCTCGAGTCTCGCCCGCCAAGTTCAGTTTAATCCTGTCCACTCCCGTCCGCCTACCAAATGCACCTTTAAGGGTGATCAAGATTTTCTTCCCTTACTAAAAAACCGTGATCTTAGTCATGATGTTTCTTAACATAATCTAATGCTTTTTCATGGTGTTCGTCAATGGGCTTGTTTGTTTTTACCATTATAGGTTAGTAACTCTATTTTGCATAAATTAGGCTATATTGAGTTCTGAATAAATGGTGTAAAACTGGACATGTGGAGCATTTGGCAGAGGAATTGTGGGCTATGAAATTGGGCTTAAAACTTCTTCAGGAGCGAGCAAAGACCGGCTCCTTTTGGTGGCCATACATAAGCAATCTTCCACAAACGTTTACCGTTCCCATCTTCTTTCCTGGAGACGATATAAAGAACTTGCAATACGCCCCTCTTCTTTACCAGGTACCATCTGCACCATTTTGACGATGAACCCAATCCGGAATATGAACCATAAAAGAAAACGCCTAAAAAGACCGTATCTTTAGCGTTATTGATATCCGCTTATATGTTACAGGTGAATAAGAGATGCCGTTTCCTTCTTGATTTTGAGAAAGAAGTGAGATCTGAAGTTGAAGATGTGAAATTAGTGGATCATCCTTTTGGAGGGAAGGACGTAGATGCATCTTCATTGGGGTGGGCTATGTCAGCTGTTTCTTCTCGAGCTTTCCGTTTAAGTTTCCAGAACAGAAACCATGGTGATGTTCGGATGATGCTTCCTCTTATCGATATGTGCAACCATAGCTTCAACCCTAACGCTGAAATCATTCAGGAACAAGGTTCGGGTGATCCAAAGATGCTAGTAAAGGCATGTTTTTTCAACTCTGTTCCCTTTTCTTGAAACTATTTCACAATTTTGGTAACTCCGTTTAACTTGTTCTTTGTATGATATCTAACATTTCGGAAATGTCGGTTTGATTACGATCTAAAAAAACTGCATCTTTTTTCGCAAAGATATGGAATAATTGAATTCAATACCTCGATAATTTCTAGGTTGTTGCGGGGATGAATATCAAAGAACATGATCATTTGACACTTAACTATGGTTGTTTGAGCAATGATCTTCTGCTTCTAGATTACGGATTTGTGGTGCCATCTAATCCTTACGATTGTGTCGAACTCAAGTATGATGGAGGTCTTTTTGATGCTGCAAGCATGGCTGCCGGGGTTTCAAACCCTAGTTTCTCTTCACCAGCTCTGTGGCAACGACAAATTTTATCCAAATTGAATTTGGAGGGAGAACAAGCCCTTCTCAAGGTATCATCATCCCTTTTTACTTATATGAAATGGCCATTAGCTCATAATCCCTATATAAACCAAACCAAACAAACACAATATATCTGCTTGATAGCAGGGTTTGAGAGGGGTGAGATGTGTAAGCAGTTCTCGCCTCTACCTGAAAAGGGTAAAGCAGATGTTTCCGTGAAGACATCTGTCATACTCTCTGGGTACCATGAAAATAGCAACACTTCCTTTTGTGATGTTCCAAAATTTCTATTTTTGGGAAGTTTACAAGTTAAATGACTTATTTGTCCATATTACCATCATTGCACGTAAATTGCTGGTATCAGATTTGTCATTGTTAAAGGGTATTTTTGTTTTTGTATTTCTCACTTAGGTAACTCTAGGAGGACCCGAAGTAGTGGAAGGCCGGTTATTGGCTGCCCTAAGATCCCTTCTAGCAAGTGATGCCGAAACTGTAGAGAAGTGCGATCTAGGTACACTCAAATCACTTGATATTGAATCCCCGCTTGGATTAGCAACCGAAACAGCTGCTCTTCGTACACTTATTGCATTATGCGTGATCGCACTAAGCCATTTTCCGACTAAGATAATGGAAGACGAATCGCTACTCAAACAGGGCGTTTCTACGTCAACAGAATTGGCTCTACAGTTTAGAATCCAAAAGAAATCGGTCCTTATAGACGTCATGAGAGATCTTACCAAGAGGGTGAAGTTACTTTCGTCAAACGAATCCATCGTTACTCAAAGTTGAGTTGAGGTAATCTTTTATGATCATCGGCATCTTTACTACGTTTTTGGCAGGATTTCATTCGTTTTCAACTTGTTTATCGAATACTTTCTATAATCATTTTTAATGATATGAGATTTCGATTGGTTTTCCGTTACGAACATATTCTCTAAAATAAATCTATCGATTTATGTTTTTGATTGACGTTGATCATATTTTATCACTTATTATTTGAACAAACAAGTCAAACTTGTTCAAATTGAAAGGTTTCCATCTTAGAATCTTAATCGGATATCCTTTGGCTTCAAGACCATCGACGGTTGCAAACTCTATGGCTGTACAAAGCATGATGCACAAGGTACAACCACTTAATGCTTCATTTATAAATATAGAATTCAAGATAATATTTTTACTATTTATCCTTCAAAACTATTTACATCTGAACATCAAAATACTATAATCACATATCGTGGCGATAAAAAAGAAAAAGAAAACCATGGTTTCGTATAGTTCTAAGAGTTGCCAACGGAGATCGGGCGGTTGGTTATGCCCAAGGGCGAGCGAGAACGCTTCGTCTGCCTCGAGAATTCTCGTAAAAGCGATCTCATCTCCGGGTGCTCCTCGAGGGCGGCAGCTGGATGCATAGTCTTCTCCAATTCTTGTTTTATCTTCTTCACTTGACTATGAATAGCAACCACCCCACCTACCATATACTTGACGACAGTCTCATCCTCCTCCTCCATCTCACGGTGGCGGTTGTTGGTGGTGGTATCCATGGATTCCGACCAGAAACTCATACCCTTCAAACCTCTCACCTATATATCTCTCTCTATGTATATGTTTATGGTGCTTATATCGTAAACGTAATAAGTCTAATGTGGTATTTATATGGGAGGGTGTGTGACACGCTGATTTCATGAATGATTAAAATAATACGGAAATTTCCGACTTTATTTTTAGATGTTTTACTTTGTTAGCAATTCTGCTTTTAACTTTTAAATTATTTATGGAATTTATTTTAATTCAAATTACTTTTTTTTTAAAGTTTCTTTATGTTGCCTTTGGTTTTATTTTATTTATTATTATTATTATTGAAAAGTATTTAAATTTAAAAAAAAATCGTATTTATATATTTTTTTAATAAAATAAGTGATTGTTGTACTAAAAAATAAATGATTTCAGAATGGGGTTTGCCTTTGACGTGTGTGATGATAGGGATGAGGGGACTTTGACTATTTCTAATATTCCAGAATTGCCCTTGTATTGGATAATTAACTACCCAACAACCATTTAGGTCGGATTCCGCTTGGTTGACCAAACTAGAATACTAGACGCTGGTTTCGGATAAATTTATGAATCTTCTCACTTGAAATCTAACGATAACACATGTTTATTTGTTTATTTTAAATCGTAAGAGAAAGAAAGCATAGTAACAAGGGTAAAATTGTCATTGTGTTACAATCTTGCAGGGATGATTTTGGTTTAATTCGGTTAGGCCGTAAAGGTAATTGGAGTAGTAGGTCGGTGAAGTGTAACAACTTGTTCCACATTGATAGAAAAATATAGTTAAAAGCTCATTATGAGTTCAAAACTGTGGCTTACAAATAACCTCCACCACAGGTTTAAGTTGATTTCGAGATTATTGGGTTAGTCTACTCTTTCGGTATGGGGCGTTACAAATTGTATCAGAGCCGATTCTTGTACCATCAACCTCATCCGAGCATGATATATCTTGGGGTGTTTATAACTTCTTAGGCAATCCCCACTTCAACCGGTTACAGGAAGAATTACGGGATGACCTAACGTAAATTCAGAGATTATTAAGTCAACGTGTTATTTTGGGAGTACGGTGCTACATTAAGCTACCTTATAAATAAGTGGCCATGGGTATCAGGCGGTATTTTGGACGTTAATGGAAGAGTTGTAGCCTCAGGGAGAGCACAACCTCTCGAAGAGCTAGTTGTTTGTTGCATATATTCTTATTGCAATTCGTTATCACGAGTAATAAGTTATTCAATAACTTTAGATTTAGATGCTTGAAGTTAAAGGGTACAGAGATCAGGTTGGAATTAAATCAAATCAAATCAGAAAAACAAAACATAATATAAGCAAGATTGAAACGATGTCGACTAGTTTGGGATTCTTTTACCTACGATCCAAGTTTGGTTGTCCAGTCTAATGAAATGGGAACTTTGTATGCTATTGATTTAACTTGTCCACTTAATTTTTGCTTTATCACATTCATAATCGACAAAGATTGGCACGTGTTGGGTACTAGTAACTCAATTACGTCACTTTATATCTTGATCACGTACATCTCCATTCAAGAAAATTCAAAGGGCAGATTCATAATTAATCTAACTGATCTTTTCTTGATCAAACGCTATTTCAAGATTTTAACATAACCAAAAAACCCAGTCAAAGGGTCCTCAGCAACCATATGCATAAGGATCAAAGATAAACTAAAAGGAATTTTTTTAATTCCCAATATTTTTGTACAATTCATCCATCTTGTTTTGAAATTTAGCTTTGAGATTAATCTAATAATATTGATTAATTTATAAAATATTAAAAGTAAAATTGAAAAAGATGCTCATTTTTAAAAGGGTAGTAAAGGTGAGTGGATGGTGTAATAAATAAAATATGAAAGAAAAAGGGAGAAAAGATTGGCCAACCCCTTCCTCCATATTACACCAACCCTAACCTATTCTTTACTTTCACTCCAATCTTCTCCAAATCATCCAAATTTTATTGCTTTTTTAATCCTCTTTTACATTTACTTTAAATTACATATGTATATTATCAGACGAATGATCGTATGAAAATAAGAGTTAATATGAGAAGTGTAATAAGAGATTTGAGCCGTTAATCACTTTAAATCTCAAAACAACCTATGAATTGTGTTTTAAAAGAGAATCAATCTATTGTTTCTCATTAATGTTGATTTAATGGTTTTCTTTTAATCAGGAATTCAGGATTGATTTAAAGGTGGAGATCCCTCTTTATTATTCTCATGAATAACTTTTGTTTTTACTATAATATAACCTTGTATTACTGTTATTATATATACATATGAATGCCTATACATATTCTTTTAAAAGAAAATTTAAGAAATACATGGAGAAAGGTTTTTGACTTTCAAAATATCCCGATACGAGGTAAAAAACATAATTATAAGGATGATGTCTGATTGGTTTGAGCTTGTATTTCAAAGATCGAAAGTACCTAAAGGTCTCAGGTTCAAATCCAAAGAGGAATAAGAATCCTCTTGTGATCACGATGATTCAAATACGATGACTCTGAACTACCACGAAACAGGTGATCGGAAATCGAAGTCAAAATGGTAAGTTTTTTCTCTTGTGGATTATTCTAGAGAGGGAAGTGGTTTACGAACGATTAAATGCCACGTGGGACGCGTGTGGGAAATGCAAAAGGAGAAAGGGAACGTGGTAAGGGCGCGTGTATGTTGACGTGGACATTGGTTGTGGCGGTTAAGTTTGTTAGCGGTCGGCTGCCGTCTGATCATGATTATGCGTCAAGCTTCTTCTATCCTTATTGCCACGTGTTTGATTTTGGAATAGGATGTCTTTTAATGCGCTTAAAATCGATCCTTCCATCTTTATCCTTCAAAATTCCAATAATTCCATTTCTATATTTTGGTAATTATCTTTTTATACATGTCTTCGATATTATGGGTTTGAATTTTTTCTAAATTAAATCGTTAAAAGAAAAAATGCCTTCAACTTCAGTTTTAAAAAAATAAAAGGTTACAATTTATTATATTTTAATTTCATATATTTAACAAAAAACTGTTTTTTTCTTAGATATTTAATTACAAAATTTAGACATTTAATTATTTTTAATTTCTTTATTTTAAAGAATTTGTTAAAATAAAACGTGTTTAAGACCTCAATTTTATAAAATCTATTTAAAGATATTAAATATCTAAAAATTTAACAGATTAATATTTTGGTAGACTATTATGTATATATTTGTATATTAGGTTCGAACCCATGTATTATACGAAGTATTTTAAATGAGAAAAACTCTGGACATTAACTCTGAAAGAAAACTTTGAAACACAAGAATTCAGAGTTCTATTATTAGGCTGAAAAATTACTCTGGACTTAACTCTGAATAAAAGGAATTCAAAGTTGTCTTCTAAGCATATAAAGTATCTACGACCATAACTCTGAGTCACAAAAATTTTGACTTCTTATAACTCAGAAACGTAACTTTGAAGAGGAGTTTAGAGTTGTATTCTAATTCTGGGAATAAACTTATAACTAAGTTTGGAACATAACAATTCAGAATTATGTTGTAAGTCTAAGAAATAACCAATATCTTCTGACTTTATGTTGGTGATTTGTATCACTAATGTCATTTAAGTGTAATGAGATTAAATTGTTTACCAATGTAATCATAATAAATATCGAACAAGTAAGGCAGGTGTGGAGTGCACACATGTTTGAGTTTATTTTGATTTAGAGGCTAAGCCGCTAACGAAAGGGGTCCGGGGGCGGCGCCCCCGGTGGCGGGGTCGAGCTTGGAATTTTTTTTTCCGGGTAATATTGCTTTGTGAAAAATGCTTCAAAAATCAAAATTTGAAATTTTAAACCTGATTTTGATGACCACTCCAGAGTTAAATTCAAACTTACAACTCTGACTTTTTCCAGAGTTATGTTGTAAGTCTTAAGGTCACTTCAGACTTAAGTTCAACTTAAACCACGAAAACAGAAAAATAAACATGTAGAGGGACAAATGTCACTTAAATAGACCTATTTGAACCGTAAGCGAAAATTGTGTTTATATATATGTTTAGGCGGGAAAAATCAATAACCGCCGCACAGAAACATGACACGTGTTCCCAAAGTTACTTATTTATTAGGTATATAGATTATATATTTAAAGTTTTAAATTTCATTTATGAGAATCTATTTGGATAAAAAATTGATCACGGGTAATATTAAAACAGTTCCCATGAAACCAGCCCCCAATGAGACCAATGTGATAGGATATTTTTCGGCTCACTTAAAAATTGAGGCCAACTCGAACTCAAGACAAAGTCAGTGTATTTGGTCAAAGTCACTTTATCTTTTTACTAACAGAGTCTATTATTTGAACGCAAGGGTTTTAGTAGTTATATAATTGATTAAAAACATAAATAATCTTAGTTAATTTGAAATGAAGTTAATTAAATTTGAAATTTGATAAAAAGGGAGACAGAAAAACACAATTATTTATTTATTTATTTATTTATTTATTTATTTTTAACTTTTCCTACTGAAATTTCTAACAACTTTTAATAAAAGACAACTTTAAATTGGTTGGACCATACAATAGTTGGAACGGATAAAAGTGATATGAGATTGTAATACACAATCAATAATTTATTTTAAAAAACGTGTGTTTTTCCATGAAAAATATAATAAATTTTTATTACTTGTTTGTAAATTTTGGATTTTAGAATATTCATTAGAAGAACATATAACAATAAGTTTTATTGATTGGAAAATGATATATTATGTTTGGTTGTTTAATTAGTGTCGATTTTTATGTTGCTTTTTGTTTGATTTTGATTTTAAAGATTGTTAGTTTAAATTGTAAGTGCGAGGGGAGATGTGAAGATCATGGTTCGTTATTAATATAATTGTCGAAATTCATTACGGGATTTGTATGTTAAACCTAAGCTAGAAGATGGAGAAATCCGAGATCTGGGCCCAACAAGGACAATAGATTTGTCATACTTCTTTAGAACTCGTGTGTCACACCCCTTTTTACTAAGGTCGAGATGGTGTATGTTGACTTAAACATCATAATCATCTCGTAAAGATAGCAGCGGAAGGCTTAA